CACCCCAGGGCCTCATCCCAGTTTTTATTTCTGGGACGGGAGGGTTGGAGCTGTTTCACCTCTGGTTGCAATGAAATTTTTCGGCAGATTTGGGATTTTTGGGATTTTTTATCCTGATTTGGGATCATCCCAGGTCCTCATCCCAGTTTTTATTTCTGGGACGGGAGGGTTGGAGCTGTTTCACCTCTGGTTGGAATTTTTCGGCAGATTTGGGATTTTTGGGGTTTTTATCCCCTCTAAAAATCCCAAATCCCTTTGGATCCCAAAATTTGGGATCACCCCAGGTCCTCATCCCAGTTTTTTTCTGGAAGGGAGGGTTGGAGCCGTTTGGTTGTGGTGAAATTTTTCGGCAGATTTGGGATTTTTTGGGGTTTTTTATCCTGATTTGGGATCCCTTTGGATCCCAAAATTTGGGATTACCCCAAATCCTCATCCCAGTTTTTATTTCTGGAAGGGAGGGTTGGAGCCATTTGGTTGTGGTGAAATTTTTAAGGCAGTTTTGGATTTTTGTTTTTTTTTTAATCCCAATTTGGGATCCCTTTGGATTCCAAAATTTGGGATTACCCCAGATCCTCATCCCAGTTTTTATTTCTGGGAAGTGAGGGTTGGAGCTGTTTCACCTTTGGTTGCAGTGAAATTTTTCGGCAGATTTGGGATTTTTGGGGTTTTTATCCCCTCTAAAAATCCCAAATCCCTTTGGATCCCAAAATTCGGGATCACCCGAGATCCTCATCCCAGTTTTTATTTCTGGGACGGGAGGGTTGGAGCCGTTTGGTTGTGGTGAAATTTTTAAGGCAGATTTGGGATTTTGGGGGTTTTTTTTATCCCGATTTGGGATCACCCCAGGTCCTCATCCCAATTTTTATTTCTGGGAAGGGAGGCTTGGAGCTGTTTCACTTCTGGTTGCGATGAAATTTTTCGGCAGATTTGGGATTTTTGGGATTTTTTATCCCGATTTGGGATCACCCCAGGTCCTCATCCCAATTTTTATTTCTGGGACGAGAGGGTTGGAGCTGTTTCACCTCTGGTTGCAATGAAATTTTAAGGCAGATTTGGGATTTTTTATCCCCTCTATAAAATCCCAAATCCCTTTGGATCCCAAAATTCGGGATCACCCCAGATCCTCATCCCAGTTTTTTTTCTGGGAAGTGAGGGTTGGAGCTGTTTCACCTCTGGTTGCAGTGAAATTTTTAAGCAGATTTTGGATTTTTGTGGGTTTTTTATCCCCTCTAAATATCCCAAATCCCAAATCCCTTTGGATCCCAAATTCGGGATCACCCCAGATCCTCATCCCAATTTATTTTTTATTTTTGGGAAGGGAGGGTTGGAGCCGTTTCCCCTTCGGCTGCAGTGACATTTTTAGGCAGATTTGGGGTTTTTGGGGTTTTTTGTCCCCTCTAAAAATGAAGGCGATAATTGGTCTGAGTCAAGGTGGGAGTGGGGTCACTCTGGAGGTGGCAGGGACAGGGAGGTGACACTGTGGAGGTGACAGGGACATGGAGGTGTCATCATGAAGGTGACGAGGACATGGAGGTGTTGCTGTGGAGGTGACAGAGGCATGAAGGTGTCACCATGGAGGTGACAAGGACATGGAGGTGTCATCATGAAGGTGACAAGGACATGGAGGTGTCACTGTGAAGGTGACATGGATATGGAGGTGTCACTCTGGAGGTGACAGGGACAGGGAGGTGTCACTCTGGAGGTGACAGGGACACAGAGATGTCACTGTGGAGGTGACAGGGACACGGAGGGGTCGCTGTGGAGGTGTTGAGGACACAGAGGTGTCACTGTGGAGGTGGCAGGGACACAGAGCTGTCACCATGGAGGTGACAAGGACATGGAGGTGTCACTGTGAAGGTGACAAGGACATGAAGGTGTCACTCTGGAGGTGACAGGGACAGGGAGGTGTCACCATAAAGGTGACAAGGACATGGAGGTGTCACTGTGGAGGTGACAGGGACATGGTACTGTCACTCTGGGGATGACAGGGACATGGAAGTGTCACCGTGAAGGGACAGGGACATGAAGGTGTCACCACGGAGGTGACAGGGACATGGAAGTGTCACTCTGGGGATGACAGGGACACAGAGCTGTCACCATGGAGGTGACAAGGACATGGAGGTGTTGCTGTGGAGGTGACAGGGACATGGAGCTGTCACTGTGGTGGTGACAGGGACATGGAGGTGTCATCATGGGGGTGACAAGGACATGGAGCTGTCACTCTGGAGGTGACAGGGACATGAAGGTGTCACCATGGAGTTGACAGGGACATGGAGGTGTCGCTGTGGAGGTGACAGGGAGACAGAGATGTCATTGTGGTGGTGACAGGGACATGAAGGTGTCACTGTGGTGGTGACAGGGACATGAAGGTGTCATCTTGAGGGTGACAAGGACATGGAGGTGTCACCATGAAGGTGACAAGGACATGGAGGTGTCGCTGTGGAGGTGACAGGGAGACAGAGATGTCACCGTGGAGGTGACAGGGACATGGAGGTGTCGCTGTGGAGGTGACAGGGACATGGAGGTGTCATCACGAAGGTGACAAGGACATGGAGGTGTCACTGTGAAGGTGACAAGGATATGGAGGTGACACCATGGAGGTGACAAGGACGTGGAGGTGTTGCTGTGGTGGTGACAGGGAGACAGAGATGTCACCATGGATGTGACAGAGACATGGAGGTGACACTGTGGAGGTGACAGGGACATGAAGGTGTCACTCTGGAGATGACAGGGACATAGGGGTGTCACCGTGGAGGTGACAAGGACACGGAGGTGACACCGTGGAGGTGACAGGGACACGGAGATGTCACCATGGAGGTGACAAGGACATGGAGGTTCTGGAGGTGACAAGGACATGCAGTTGTCACTCTGGAGGTGATGTTGGGACACAGATTTTGCTGTGCAGGTGACAAGGACAGAGATAGAGCTCTGGAGGTGACAGGGACACAGAGATGTCACCATGGAGGTGACAGGGACAGAGGTGTTGATTTGGAAGTGACAAGGACATGGAGATGTCCCTGAGGAGGTGTTGGGGACACGGAGGGGTCGCTGTGGAGGTGACAGGGACATGGAGGTGTCACTGTGGAGGTGACAGGGACGCGGAGGGGTTGCTGTGGAGGTGACAGGGACACAGAGGTGTCACTGTGGAGGTGACAGGGACATGGACGTGTCCCTGAGGAGGTGTTGGGGACACGGAGGTGTCACTGTGGAGGTGACAGGGACGCGGCGGTGTCGCTCTGGAAGTGACAGGGACACAGAGATGTCCCTGAGGAGGTGTTGGGGACACAGAGGTGTCGCTGTGGAGGTGACAGGGACACGGAGGGGTCACTGTGGAGGTGACAGGGACACAGAGGTGTCGCTGTGGAGGTGACAGGGACACAGAGGTGTCACTGTGGAGGTGACAGGGACGCGGAGGGGTCGCTGTGGAGGTGACAGGGACACAGAGGTGTCGCTGTGGAGGTGACAGGGACACAGAGATGTCACTGTGGAGGTGACAGGGACACGGAGGGGTCGCTGTGGAGGTGACAGGGACACGGAGGGGTCGCTGTGGAGGTGTTGGGGACATGGAGGTGTCCCTAAAGGGGTGCTGGGGACACAGAGATGGCTCTGGAGGTGACAGGGACATGGAGGGGTCACTCTGGAGGTGTTGGGGACGTGGAAGTGGCTCTGGAGGTGTCAGGGGGCACGGGCATTGCTCTGGGCAGGGTGGGGACATCATTGTCACTTGCCCCCTTTCGCCTTTCCCATTTTCCCCTTTTCCATTTTCCTGTTTCCCTTTTTCCCCCTTTCCCCCTTTCCCCCTTTCCTCCTTTTCCCCCCTTTCCCCCATTTCCCCCCTTTTCCCCCTTTCCCCCATTTCCTCTTTTCTCCCTTTTCCCTCTTTTTTCCTTTTCCCTCTTTTCCCCTTTTCCCCCCCCTTTTCTCCTTTTCCCCCTTTCCCACTTTTCCCTTTTCCCTTCCCCCTTTCCCTTCATTTTTCCTTCCTTTTCCCTTTTCCCCCTTTTCCCCCTTTTCCCCCCTTTTCCCCCTTTTCTCCTTTTCCCCCTTTCCCCCATTTCCCCTTTCCCATTTCCCCTTTTCCCCTTTTTCCCCTTTTCTCTTCCATTTCCCCTTCCTTTCCCCTTTCCCCTTTCCCCTTTCCCCTTTCCCCTTTCCCCTTTCCCCTTTCCCCTTTCCCCCTTCCATTTCCCCTATTCCCCTTTCCCCTTTCCCCCTCTTTTTCCCCTTTCCCCCCTTTTCTCTTCCATTTCCCCTTCCCCTTTCCCCTTCCTTTCCCCTTCCTTTCCCCTTCCATTTCCCCTTTCCCCTCATTTTTCCCCCATTTTCCCTTTTTTCCCTTTCCCCCCTCTTCCGCTTTTCCCTTTCCCCCTTTACCCCTTCCCATTTTCCTTCCTTTTCCCCCTTTCCCCCATTTCCCCTTTTCTCCTTTTTCCCCGTTTTCCCCCTTTTCCCTTTTCCCCTTCATTTTCCTTCCTTTTCCCTTTTCCCCCCTTTCCCCCTTTTCTCCTTTCCCCTTTTTCCCCTTTTCTCCTTTCACCCTTTCCCTGATTCATCCCCCCCTTTCCCCTTTCCCTTTTCCCCTTTCCCCTTTTCCCCTTCCCATTTCCCTTCCTTTTCCCTCTTTTCCCCCTTTTGCCCCCTTTTCTCCTTTTCCCCCTTGCCCCCATTTCCCTCCCCTTTTTCCCCTTTTCTCTTCCATTTCCCCCTTTCCCCCTTTCCCCTTCCCTTCCCCCTTCCATTTCCCCTTCCCCCTTTTCCCCCCTTTTCCCCTTTTTCCCCCTTTTCCCCTTTTTCCCCTTTTTCCCCCTTTTTCCCCTTTTCCCCCTTTTCCCCCTTTTCCCCCCTTTCCCCTTCCTTTCCCGCCTTTCCCCCTTCCATTTCCCCTTCCTTCCCCCTTCCTTCCCCCTTCCCCCCTTTCCCCTTTCCCTTTCCCCCCATTTCCCCTCATTTCCCCCCATTTCCCCCCCTCCATTTCTCACCATGCCGCCCCCTCCCGGCAGGGCAGGGATGTTCCTCCCCTGAGGCCCCGCCTGGGGCTGCTCTCCTGAGGCCGCCCACGCTCCCCGAGCCCCCGGCCCGGCCCCGCAGCGCCTCCGCCCGCAGCCTCCCCGGCGCCCTCGAGGCCATGGACGCGCCGGATCCCGATCCCCACCGGGATCCCCACCGGGATCCCCCCCGGGATCCCCACCACCACCACCAGGAGGAGGAGGAGGAGGAAGGGGAGGAGGAAGGGGAGGAGGAGGAGACGCACATCCTCAAGGTTTGCTTCTACAGCAACAGCTTCAACCTGGGCAAGAACTTCAAGCTGGTCAAGTGCTCCGTGGGCACCGAGATACGGGTAAGGGGGGAAAGGGCAGGGGTTCGGGGCGGGAAGTTCGGGAATTCGGGGTTTGGATTGGGAATTTGGGGCTGGGGATTGGGAATTTGGGGCAGAAATTGGGAATTTGGGGTTGGGATTGGGGATTCAGGGTTGGGGTTGGGAATTTGGGGGTTGGGATTGGGAATTTGGGGCTGGGGATTAGGAATTTGGGGTTTGGATTGGGAATTCAGGGCTGGGATTCAGAATTTGGGGCAGAAATTGGGAATTTGGGGTGTAAAATGGGAATTCAGGGCTGGGATTGGGAATTTGGGGTTTGGATTGGGAATTGAGGCTGGGAGTGGGAATTTGGGGTTGGGGTTGGGAAATTCAGGGCTGGAATTGGGAATTTGGGGCAAAAATTGGGAATTTGGGGTGTAAAATGGGAATTCAGGGCTGGGATTGGGAATTCGGGGCACAAAATGGGAATTTGGGGTTGGGGTTGGGAATCCGGGCCTGGGATTGGGGATTCGGGGTTGGGATTGGGAATTCGGGGTTGGGATTGGGAATTCAGGCCAGAAATTTGGAATTTGGGGCAAGGGTTGGGAATTTGGGACTGGAATTAGGAATTTGGAATTTGGGGTTTGGATTGGGAATTTGGGGCAGGGAATTTGGGAATTCGGGGTTGGGGTTGGGAATTCAGGGCTGGAATTGGGAATTTGGGGCAAAAATTGGGAATTTGGGGTGTAAAATGGGAATTCAGGGCTGGGATTGGGAATTCGGGGCACAAAATGGGAATTTGGGGTTGGGGTTGGGAATCCGGGCCTGGGATTGGGGATTCGGGCCTGGGATTGGGGATTCGGGGCTGGGATTGGGAATCTGGGGCTGGGATTGGGAATTCGGGGCAGAAATTGGGAATTTGAGGCAGAAATTGGGAATTCGGGGTGTAAAATGGGAATTCAGGGCTGGGAGTGGGAACTTGGGGCTGGGATTGGGAATTTGGGGTTGGGATTGGGAATTCAGGACTGGGAATTGGGAATTTGGGGGTGGGAATTGGTAGTTCGGGGTTTGGATTGGGAATTCTGGGCTGGGATTGGGATTTTGGGGCTGGGATTGGGAATTTGGGGCAGAAATTGGGAATTTGGGACTGGGAATTGGGAATTTGGGGGTGGGAATTGGGAATTCAGGGTTTGGATTGAGAATCCGGGGCTGGGATTGGGAATTTGGGGCAGAAATTGGGAATTTGGGACTGGGAATTGGGAATTTGGGGGTGGGAATTCGGGGTTTGGATTGGGAATTCGGGGCTGGGAACTGGGAATTTGGGGCAGAAATTTGGAACTCGGGGCTGGGACTGGAATCCGGGGCTGGGATTGGGAATTTGGGGTTGGGATTGGGAAATTTGGGGCTGGGATTGGGAATTTGGGGCACGAATTGGAAATTCGGGGCTGGGGTTGGGAATCTGGATTTGGGGTTGGAAATGTGGGGCTGAGATTGGGAATTTGAGGTTGGGATGGGAATTTTGGGGTTGGGATTGAGATTGGGAATTCTGGGCTGGGATCGGTTGGAGCCGCTTCCCCATCCCAAAGGGGCTCCAGGAGAGCTGGGCTTGGGGCAAGGGCTGGAGGGAGCCAGGGAATGGCTTCCAGTGGGAAAGGGGAGCTTGGGATGCTGGGATCCTGGGAAGGGATTCCTGGCTGGGCTGGGATTGATCCCGCTTTTTTCCCCCCAGGAGTTGATCCTGTGGGATCCCCACTCACCAGATCCCTGGGGTTTTTTCCCCTCAGGAGTTGATCCCTGTTTTTCCCCCCCGCCCCAGAAGTTGATCCCTCCTCACCAGATCCCTGTTTTCATCCATCTCCCCAGGAGTTGATCCCTGTTTTTATCCATCCATCTCCCCAGGAATTGATCCCTGTTTTCCTCCCCCAGTCCATCTCCCCAGGAGTTGATCCCTGTTTTTCCCCATCTCCCCAGGAGCTGATCCCTATTTTTATCCCTCTCCCCAGGAGTGGATCCCTCCTCACCAGATCCCTGTTTTTATCCCCTCTCCCAGGAATTGATCCCTGTTCCCCCCCCCCCCCTCCCAGGAGTGGATCCCTCCTCACCAAATCCCTGTTTTCCCCCACAGGAGTTGATCCCTCCTCACCAGATCCCTGGGGTTCCCCCCCCCCCCTCCCCAGGAGTTGATCCTGTTTTTCCCCCCCAGGAATTGATCCCTCCTCACCAGATCCCTGTTTTCATCCATCTCCCCAGGAGTTGATCCCTCCTCACCAGATCCCTGGTTTTTTCCCACCTCCCCAGGAGTTGATCCCTATTTTTATCCCATTTCCCCAGGAGTGGATCCCTCCTCACCAGATGCCTGTTTTTATCCATCTCCCCCAGAGCTGATCCCTGTTTTTATCCATCTCTCCCCCCGCAGGAGGTGATCCCTCCTCACCAGATCCCTGTTTTCATCCATCTCCCCAGGAGTTGATCCCTGTTTTTCCCCCCCAGGAATTGATCCCTCCTCACCAGATCCCTGTTTTCATCCATCTCCCCAGGAGGTGATCCCTCCTCACCAGATCCCTGGTTTTTTCCCCCCGTCCTCAGGAGTTGATCCCTATTTTTATCCCATCTCCCCAGGAGCTGATCCCTGTTTTCCCCCCATTTCCCCAGGAGTGGATCCCTCCTCACCAGATCCCTGTTTTTATCCCATTTCCCCAGGAGTTGATCCCTCCTCACCAGATCCCTGTTGTTATCCCCATCTCCCCAGGAGCTGATCCCTCCTCACCAGATCCCTGTTCCCCCCTGGAGGTGATCCCTGCTCACCAGATCCCTGTTTTCCCCCCAGGAGTGGATCCCTGTTTTTATCCCCTCTCCCCAGGAGTGGATCCCTGTTTTTGCCCCCATCTCTCCCCCCCCCCCCCCCCCCCCCCCCCCGCCCCAGGAGCTGATCCCTGCTCACCAGATCCCTGTTTTCATCCATCTCCCCAGGAGTTGATCCCTCCTCACCAGATCCCTGTTTTTCCCCATCTTCCCAGGAGCTGATCCCTGTTTTTACACCCCACCCCCCCCACACCCCATTTCCCCAGAAGTTGATCCCTCCTCACCAGATCCCTGTTTTTTCCCCCAGGAGGTGATCCCTGCTCACCAGATCCCTGTTTCCCCCCCTCCCCAGGAGTGGATCCCTGTTTTTTCCCCCATCTCCCCCCCCCCCCCCCCCCCCCCCCCAGGAGCTGATCCCTGCTCACCAGATCCCTGTCCCCCCCCCCCAGGAGGTGATCCCTGCTCACCAGATCCGTTTCCCCCCTGTTTTTATCCCTGTCCCAGGAGGTGATCCCTGCTCACCAGATCCCTGTTTCCCCCCTGTTTTTATCCCTGTCCCCAGGAATTGATCCCTGCTCACCAGATCCCTGTTTTTATCCCTGTCCCCAGGAGTGGATCCCTGCTCACCAGATCCCTGTTTCCCCCCCAGGAGTGGATCCCTCCTCACCAGATCCCTGTTTCTCCCCCAGGAGTGGATCCCTGCTCACCAGATCCCTGTTTTCCCCCCCTGTTTTCCCCCCGTCCCACAGGAGGTGATCCGCTCGATCCTGCAGAGCGGCCGCGTGGGGCCGGCCATCCGCCTGCCCGGCTGCTACGGGCTGCGCCTCAAGCACCTCAAGTCGCAGCAGGAGCACTGGCTGCACCCGCGCCTCACCGTGCACAGGCGCGGCGCAAGTACGAGCGCCGGCACCCCGAGGCCGAGTGGAGGTGGGACACGCGCGCGCGGCGGGGGCGGTGGCATTGTCACCTTGGGCACCATTGCCACCCTTTGGCACCCTTTGGCACCCTTTGTCATCTTTGTCGCGCTTTGTCCGCTTTGTCCTCATTCTCCCCTTTGTCCCTGTTGTTCCCCATTCTCCCCTTTGGCACCCATTGTCACCATTCTCCCCTTTGTCCCCTTTTTCCCCATTGTCCCCATGGGTGTCCCCGTTGTCCCCATTGTCCCTGTTGCCCCCTTTGTCCCCATTCTCCCCTTTCTCCCCCGTTGTTCCCTTTGTCCCCATTGTCCACTTTGTGCCCTTTGTCCCCTTTGTCATCCATTGTCCCCATTATCCCCTTTGTCCCTGTTGTCCCCTTTCTCCCCATTATCCCCTTTGTCACCCTTTGTCACCCATTGTCCCCTTTGATCCCATTGTCCCCGTTCCCCCCTTTGTCCCCTTTGTCCCCATTGTCCCCTTTGTCCCGTTGTTCCCCATTCTCCCCTTTGTCACCCATTGTCCCCTTTGTCACCCATTGTCACCCATTGTCCCCCATTGTTCCCTTTGATCCCATTGTCCCCATTCTCCCCTTTGTCCCCTTTTTCCCCGTTGTCCCCCATTCTCCCCGTTGTCCCCATAGGTGTCCCTGTTGTCCCCATTGTCCCTGTTGCCCCCTTTGTCCCCATTCTCCCCCGTTGCCCCCTTTGTCCCCATTCTCCCCCGTTGTGCCCTTTGTCCACTTTGTGCCCTTTGTGCCCTTTGTCCCCATTGTTCCCATTGTCACCCTTTATCCCGATTGTCCCCTTTGTCACCCATTCTCCCCATTGTCCCCATGGGTGTCCCCTTTTTCCCCTTTGTCACCATTGTCCCCTTTGTCCCCATTGTCCCCATGGGTGTCCCCTTTGTCGCCTTTGTCCCCATTGTCCCCCTTATCCCCATTGTCCCCTTTGTCCCCATTGTCCCCCATTGTTCCCTTTGATCCCATTGTCCCCACTGTCCCCGTTCTCCCCTTTGTCCCCTTTGTCCCCATTGTCGCCATTGTCGCCATTGTCACCCTTTATCCTGATTGTCCCCTTTGTCCCCGTTGTCCCCTTTGTCACCCTTTATCCCCGTTGTCCACTTTGTGCCCTTTGTCCTCATTGTCCCCTTTGTCGCCCTTGTCCACTTTGTCACCCTTTGTCCCTGTTATCCCCATTGTCCCCATTGTCGCCATTGTCACCCTTTATCCCAATTGTCCCCTCTGTCACCCATTGTCCACTTTGTGCCCATTGTCCCCTTTGTTTGTCCCCTTTATCCCCACTGTCACCCTTTGTCGCCTTTATCCCCATTGTCCCCTTTGTCCCCATTCTCCCTTTTGTCCCCTCTATCCCCATTGTCCCCGTTGTCCCCTTTGTCTCCATGGTCCCCTTTTTCCCCTTTGTCCCCATTGTCCCCATTGTTCCCCTTTGTCACCCATTGTCCCTGTTGTCCCCTTTGTCACCTTTGTTCCCATTGTCCCCATTGTCCCCATTGTCCCTGTTGTCCCCTTTGTCCCCTTTGTCCCCATTGTCCCCTTTGTCCCCATTGTCACCCTTTATCCCGATTCTCCCCTTTGTCACCCATTCTCCCCATTGTCCCCATGGGTGTCCCCTTTGTCCCCCTTGTTGCCATTGTCACCCTTATCCCGATTGTCCCCGTTGTCCCCTTTGTCGCCTTTATCCCCATCGTCCCCTTTCTCCCCCTTATCCCCATTGTCCCCATTGTTCCCCTTTGTCACCCATTGTCCCCGTTGTCCCCTTTGTCACCTTTGTTCCCATTGTCCCCATTGTCCCTGTTGTCCCCTTTCTCGCCGTCATCCCCATTGTCCCCTTCATCGCCTTTCTCCCCTTTCTCCCCTTTGTCCCCTTTGTTGCAGTTGTCCCCATTGTCCCCCGTTATCCCCTTTGTCGCCTTTGTCACCCTTTGTTCCCATTCTCCCCATTGTCCCCTTTGTTGCCGTTGTCCCCTTTGTCACCCATTGTCCCCTTTGTCCCCTTTCTTTGTCCCCTTTATCCCCACTGTCATCCTTTGTCCCCTTTATCCCCATCGTCCCCTTTGTCCGCATTGTCCCCGTTGTCCCCATTGTCCGCATTGTCCCCCATTGTTCCCTTTGTCCCCATTGTCACCCTTTATCCCGATTCTCCCCTTTGTCACCCATTCTCCCCATTGTCCCCATGGGTGTCCCCTTTGTCCCCCTTGTTGCCATTGTCACCCTTATCCCGATTGTCCCCGTTGTCCCCTTTGTCGCCTTTATCCCCATCGTCCCCTTTCTCCCCCTTATCCCCATTGTCCCCTTCAACCCCTTTGTCCCCCGTTGTCCCCTTTGTCCCCTTAGTTCCCTTTGTCACCCTTTGTCCCCTTTGTTGCCCTTGTCCCCTTTGTCCTCTTTGTCACCCATTGTCCCCATTGTCCCCTTTGTTTGTCCCCTTTATCCTCACTGTCACCCTTTGTCCCCTTTATCCCCATCATCCCCTTTGTCCCCTTTGTAGCCATTGTCACCCTTTATCCCAACTGTCCCCTTTGTCCCCGTTGTCCCCATTGTCCCCTTTGTCACTGTTGTCCCCTTTGTCCCCATTGTCCCCTTTGTCCCTTTTGTCCCCTTTGTCCCCATTGTCCCCTCTGTCACTCATTGTCCCCTTTGTCCCCATTGTCCCCTGGTATCCCCTTTGTCCCCTTTGTCCCCTTGGTCCCTGTTGTCCCCATTGTCCCCTTTGTCACCTTTGTCCCCGTTCTCCCCTTTGTCACCTTTGTCCCCATTGTCCCCCGTTCTCCTCATTGTCCCCTTTGTTGCCGTTGTCCCCTTTATCCCCCCTGTCACCCTTTGTCTCCTTTATCCCCATCGTCCCCTTTGTCCCTGTTGTCCCCTTTGTCCCCTTTGTTCCCGTTGTCCCCTTTGTCCCCATTGTCATCCATTGTCCCCTTTGTCCGTCCCCTTTATCCCCACTGTCACCCTTTGTCGCCTTTATCCCCATTGTCCCCTTTGTCCCCCATTGTTCCCTTTGTCACCCTTTGTTCCTGTTATCCCCTTTGTCCCCATTGTCCCCGTTGTTCCCGTTGTCCCTATTGTCCCCCATTGTCCACGTTGTCCCCTTTGTCCTACATTGTCCCCCATTGTCTCCTTTGTTCCCCTTGTCCCCCATTGTCCCCTTTGTCCCCCATTGTCCCCTTTGTCCCCCATTGTCCCCCTTGTCCCCTTTCTCCCCTTAATCCCTGTTGTCCCCTTTGTCCCTGTTCTCCCCATTGTCCCCATTGTCCCCTTTGTCCCCATTCTCCCCATTGTCCCCCATTGTCCCTGTTGTCCCCTTTGTCCGGAATTGCCGCGAGTGGCGGTGGTGGCATCATGGGGGGGTTTTTGTGTCCCAGGTACGACCTCCAGATCCGGTACCTGCCCGAGGATTTCATGGAGAGCTTCAAGGAGGACAGGACCACGCTGCTCTACTTCTACCAGCAGGTCAGGGCTGCTCCTGGAGCCCCCAAATTCCCGAAATTCCCGAAATTCCCGAGGTTTTGGCGCCTCGGGTGGCGGTGGTGGCACTGTCCTGGTGATGGGAGGGGGCAGCAAGGATGTCCAGGGATGTCCAGGGATCTCCAGGGACATCCAGGGCTGTCCAGGGACATTCAGGGACATCCAGGAACATCCAGGGCTGTCAAGAGACATTCAGGGACGTCCAGGGAGATTCAGGGACATTCAGGGACGTCCAGGGACGTCCAGGGACGTCCAGGGCTGTCAAGGGACATCCAGGGGCATTGAGGGACATTCAGGGACAATCAGGGACATCCAGGGAAGTTCCTGGACATTCAGGAACATTCAGGGACATTCAGGGATGTCCAGGGACACCCACGGACATCCAGGGACATCCAGGGACATCCAGGGATGTCCAGAGACATCCACAGACATCCAGGGGCATCCAGGGACATTCAGGGACATCCAGGGATCTCCAGGGATCTCCAGGGACATTCAGGGATGTCCAGGGACACCCAGGGCTGTCAAGGGACATTCAGGGACATACAGGGACAGTCAGGAGCATCCAGGGACGTTCAAGGATGTTCTGGGACATCCAGGAAAGTCCAGGGACATCCAGGGATGTTCAGGGATGTCCAGTGACATCCAGGGATGTCCAGGGACATTCAGGGACGTCCAGGGACATTCAGGGACATCGAGGGATGTTCAGGGATCTCCAGGGACACCCAGGGACCTCCAGGGACACCCAGGGACATCCAGGGCTGTCAAGGGACATTCAGGGACATTCAGGCACATTCAGGGACATCCAGGAGGGTCCAGGGCTGTCAAGGGACATTCAGGGACATCCAGGGACAGTCAGGAGCATCCAGGGAGATTCAAGGGCATCCAGGGACACTCAGGGACATCCAGGGACATCCAGGGACATTCTGGGACATCCAGGGATGGGGAAGGGTGTGGGCAGTGCCACCATCCCTGTCACCATCCCCTGTCACTGTCCCCTGATACCATCCCCTGCTGTCCCAGGGTGTCCCCTGCTGTCCCCACTGTCCCCAGGGTGTCCCCTGCTGTCCCCACTGTCCCCTGCTGTCCCTGGGTGTCCCTGGGTATCCCTGGGTGTCCCCTGCTGTCCCCATTGTCCCCACAGTGACACTCTGTCCCTGGGTGACCCTGGGTGTCCCTTCCTAACCCGTGCCATCCCCTGCTGTCCCTGGGTGTCCCCCTGCTATCTCCACTGGACCCGGGTGTCCCCCAGTGTCCCCTGCGTGTCCCCACTGTCCCCTGAGTGTCCCCTGGGTGTCCCCTGCTATCACCACTGTCTTCACTGTCCCCGGGTGGTCCCCGGGTGTCCCCTGGGTGTCCCCTGGGTGTCCCCAGTGTCCCCTGAGTGTCCCCTGGGTGTCCCCTGGGTGTCCCCCGGGTGTCCCCTGAGTGTCCCCACTGTCCCCGCTGTCCCCAGCTCCGCAGTGAGTACATGCAGAACTACGCCAGCAAGGTCAGCGAGGGCATGGCGCTGCAGCTGGGCTGCCTCGAGCTCAGGTACGGTCCCCTGGTGTCCCCTCCTGTCCCCTGGTGTCACCCTGGTGTCACCTGTGTCCCCTGGTGTCACCTGTGTCCCCTCCTGTCCCTGCTGTCCCCTCTCCCTGGCGCTGCAGCTGGGCTGCCTCGAGCTCAGGTACGGTCCCCCTGGTGTCACCTCCTGTCCCCTGGTGTCACCTGTGTCCCCTCCTGTCCCTCTGTGTCCCCTCGTGTCCCTGGCGCTGCAGCTGGGCTGCCTCGAGCTCAGGTACGGTCCCCTGGTGTCCCCTGGTGTCACCTGGTGTCCCCTGCTGTCCCCTGGTACCCCCTGCTGTCCCTCTGTGTCCCCTGTCCCTTGTGTCTCTGTCACTCTGTCCCTTTGTCCCCTCATGTCCCTGGCACTGCAGCTGGGCTGCCTCCAGCTCAGGTACGGTCCCCTGGTGTCACCTGTGTCCCCTGGTGTCACCTGTGTCCCCTCCTGTCCCCCTGCTGTCCCCCTGTGTCCCCTGGTGTCCCCTGTCCCTTCTGTCTCTGTGTCACTTTGTCCCCCTTGTCCCCTTGTGTCTCTGGTGCTGCAGCTGGGCTGCCTCCAGCTCAGGTATGGCCTGGCACTGTCCCCTGTGTCCCCTGCTGTCCCCTGGTGTCCCCTGCTGTCACTTGTGTCTCTGTGTCTCTGTGTCACTCTGTCCCTTTGTCCCCTCGTGTCTCTGGCGCTGCAGCTGGGCTGCCTCGAGCTCAGGTACAGTCCCCTGCTGTCCCCTTCTGTCCCCTGGTGTCACCTGTGTCCCCTCCTGTCCCCTGCTGTCCCCTTGTGTCCCTGGCACTGCAGCTGGGCTGCCTCGAGCTCAGGTACGGTCCCCTGGTGTCACCTGTGTCCCCCGGTGTCACCTGTGTCCCCCTTGTCCCCTCGTGTCCCTGGTGCTGCAGCTGGGCTGCCTCCAGCTCAGGTATGGCCTGGCACTGTCCCCTGCTGTCCCCTGCTGTCCCCTGCTGTCACTTGTGTCTCTGTGTCACTCTGTCCCTTTGTCCCCTCGTGTCCCTGGTGCTGCAGCTGGGCTGCCTCGAGCTCAGGTATGGCCTGGCACTGTCCCCTGTGTCCCTTTGTGTCCCTGGTGTTCCCTGATGTCCCCTGGCCCTGTGTCCTTGTGTCTTTCTGTCTCTGTGTCGTTTTGTCCCTGTGTCCCCTTGTCCCCACGTGTCCCTTGTCCTCTTGTCCCCCGTGTGTCCCCTGTCCTTGTGTCCCCTTGTGTCCCTCTGTCCTTGTGTCTTTGTGTCCCTGTGTCTTTGTGTTCCCATCTCCCCTGTCCCCATGTGTCCCACTGTCCCTGTGTCCTTCTGTCCTTGTGTCCCTCTGTGTGTCCCCGTGTCCCCTGTCCCTGTGTCCCCTTGTCCTCATGTGTCCCCTGGCCTTGTGTCCCTGTGTCCCCTTGTCCCCATGTGTCCCTGTGTCCCTGTGCCCCCATCCTGGTGTCCCCTGTGTCCCCTGTCCCTGTGTCCCGATGTCCCCATGTGTCCCTGTGTCCCCATGTCTCCTGTTCCAGTGTCCCCTGTGTCCCCTGTCCCTGTGTCCCTTGTCCCCATGTCCCCTGTGAACCTGCCTCATTCTGTCCCTGTGTCCTTCTGTCCCTGTGTCCTTCTGTCCTTGTGTCCCTGTGTGGGGATGTGGGGGACATAGGGGACGGGGGGGACATGGGGACATTGGGGATGTGGGGACATGGGGGACATGGGGACATGGAGGGACATTGGGGGACATGGGTACATGCTGGTGTCCCCGTGTCCCCAGGAGGTTCTACAAGGACATGGGGACACGGGGACATGGGGACATGATGCCCTGGTGGCATGTGTCATGGGCTGGTGTGCCCGTGTCCCCAGGAGGTTCCACAAGGACATGGGGACATTGGGGACATGGGGACATGGAGGGACATGGAGACATGGGGGACATGAGGGTCATGGAGGGTCATGGGGACATGGAGACAAGGGGGTCATGAAGACATGAGGACGTGGAGGGACATGGGGGTCATGGAGGGACATGGAGGGACATGGAGACAAGGGGGACATGGGGGATGTGGGGACATGGGGGGACATTGGGACATGAGGGACACAGGGATGTGGGGACATGAAGGACATGGGGGACATGAGGGACATGGAGGGACGGGGAATATGGAGACTGTGGGGACATGGAGGGACATGGAGGATGTGGGGACATCCCACACGAGGGACATGAGGGACATGGGGACATGGAGGGACATGGAGGGACCATGGGGGACATGGAGGGACGTGGGGACATGGGGATATGGGGACATGATGCCGTGGTGGCACGTGTAATGGGCTGGTGTCCCCGTGTCCCCCAGGAGGTTCTACAAGGACATGGGGACATGGGGGACATGGGGGGACATTGGGACATGGGGGACACAGGGACATGGGGACATGAAGGACATGGGGGACATGAGGGACATGGAGGGACGGGGAATATGGAGACTGTGGGGACATGGGGGGACATGGAGGATGTGGGGACATCCCACACGAGGGACATGGGGACATGGAGGGACATGGAAGGACATGGGGGACATGGGGGATGTGGGGACATGGGAGACACGAGGGACACGAGGGACATGGGGGACATGGGGGACATGGGAACATGGGGATGTGAGGGACATGGGGAACATGGAGGGACATGGGGGACATGGAGGGACATGGGAACATGGGGATGTGAGGGACATGGGGGACGTGGGGACATGGGGATGTGGGGACGTGGGGGACATGGAGGGACATGGAGGGGACATGGGGGACATGGGGACATGGGAACATGGGGAAGTGAGGGACATGGGGGACGTGGGGACATGGGGATGTGGGGACGTGGGGGACATGGAGGGACATGGGAACATGGGGGATGTGAGGGACATGGGGGACGTGGGGACATGGGGGACATGGAGGGACATGGGAACATGGGGACGTGGGGACATGGGGACGTGGGGGACATGGAGGGACATGGGGGGACATGGGGACATGGGAGACACTGGAGACATTGGGGACATGGAGACAAGGGGGACATGAGGGACATGAGGGTGTGGAGGGACATGGGGACATGGAGACAAGGGGGTCATGAGGGAAATGGGGGACATGGACGGACGTGGGGACATGGCGGGACATGGAGACAAGGGGGTCATGGGGGTCATGAAGGGACATGGAGGGACATGGAGGGACATGGAGGGGCATGGGGGATGTGGGGACATGGGGGGACATGGGGACATGAGGGACACAGGGATGTGGGGACATGAAGGACATGGGGGACATGAGGGACATGGAGGGGCGGGGAATATGGAGACTGTGGGGACATGGAGGGACATGGAGGATGTGGGGACATCCCACACGAGGGACATGGGGACATGGAGGGACATGGAAGGACATGGGGGACATGGGGGATGTGGGGACACGAGGGACATGGAGGGATGTGAGGGACAAGGGGGATGTGGAAGGACATGGGGGATATGGGGGACATGGGGGATGTGGGGACATGGGGGACATGGAGGGACATGGGGGATATGGGGGACATGGGGGATGTGGGGGACATGGGGGATGTGGGGACATGGGGGATGTGGGGACACGAGGGACATGGAGGGATGTGAGGGACAAGGGGGATGTGGAAGGACATGGCGGGACATGGAGACAAGGGGGACATGGGGGACATGGAGGGACATGGGGGCCATGGGGCCATGGTGGCACGTGTCACAGGCTGGTGTCCCCGTGTCCCCAGGAGGTTCTACAAGGACATGGAGGGACATGGGGACATGGGAGGGGCATGGAGGGGCATGGGGGCATGGGGGACATAGGGGGACACGGGGGACATGGGGACATGGAGGGACATTGGGGGACATGAGGGACATGCTGGTGTCCCCGTGTCCCCAGGAGGTTCTACAAGGACATGGGGACATTGGGGACATTGGGGACATTGGGGCCATGGTGGCACGTGTCTCATGCTGGTGTCCCCGTGTCCCAGGAGGTTCTACAAGGACATTGGGGGACATTGGGGACATTGGGGGACATTGAGGGCCATGGTGGCACGTGTCTCATGCTGGTGTCCCCGTGTCCCCAGGAGGTTCTACAAGGACATGGGGACATTGGGGGACATTGGGGACATTGGGGGACACGGTGGCACGTGTCACATGCTGCTGTCCCCCGTGTCCCCAGGAGGTTCTACAAGGACATGCCCCAGAACGCGCTGGACAAGAAATCCAACTTCGAGTTCCTGGAGTGAGTCCAGCCCGAGCCACCGCCCCGACCCCCGGCGGCCTTCCTCACCCTCCTCATCTTCATCGTCTGCATCGCTCTTCTCGCCCTCCTCATCTTCATCATCATCATCATCCCCCTGTGGCTCCTCGTCCTCATCCTCCTCACCTTCCTCACCCTCCTCATCTTCATCATCTGCATCGTTCTTCTCGCCCTCCTCATCTTCATCATCATCATCATCCCCACTGTGGCTCCTCGTCCTCATCCTCCTCACCTTCATCATCTTCATCTTCATCATCCTCCTGTGGCTCCTCATCCTCATCCTCCTCACCTTCATCATCTTCATCATCTTCATCATTCTTCTCATCCTCCTCATCTTCATCATCCTCCTGTGGCTCCTCATCCTTCTCACCCTCCTCATCTTCATCATCATCATCCCCCTGTGGCTCCTCATCCTCATCCTCCTCATCTTCATCATCCTCCTGCAGCTCCTCATCCTCCTCATCTTCATCATCCTCCTCATCCTCCTCATCCTTGTCATCTTCATCCTCCTCCTGCTACTCCTCACCCTCCTCATTCTCCTCATCCTCCTCATCTTCCTCATCTTCATCATCCTCATCCTCCTAATTCTCCTTCTCCTCCTCATTCTCCTCATCTTCCTTATCTTCCTCCTCATTCTCCTAATGCTCCTCATCTTCCTCATCTTCCTCATCCTCCTCATCCTCCTCATCTTCATCATCCTCCTGCTGCTCCTCATCCTCCTCCTACTCTTCATCCTCCTGCTACTCCTCATCTTCCTCATCCACTTCATCCTCCTCCTCATCCTCCCCATCCTTCTTATCCTCCTCATCTTCATCATCTTCCTCATCCTCCTCGTCTTCATCATCCTCCTCATCTTCATCATCCTCATCATCCTCCTGCTACTCCTCGTCCTGCTATTCCTCATCCTCCTCATCCTCAGCATCCTCCTCATCCTCAGCATCCTCCTCATGCTCCTCATCCTCCTCATCTTCCTTATCTTCCTCCTCATTCTCCCGCTACTCTTCATCCTCCTCATCCTCCTCATCTTCTTATCCTCACTCATCTCCTCATCCTCCTCATCTTCATCATTCTCCTGCTACTCCTCATCCTTCTCATCCTCCTCATCTTCCTCCTCATCTTCCTCCTCATCTTCCTCCTCATCCTCCTGATCCTCCTGATCCTCCTGATCCTCCTCATCCTCCTCATCCTCCTCATCCTCCTCATCCTCCTCATCCTGCCCGGTTCCTCCGGAGCTGCCCCCCATCCCCGCTCCCGTCCCGGCCGGGCATTCCCGCTGGCATTCCCGCTGACATTCCCGGCGTTCTCTGCCCGCTGGCATTCCCGCTGGCATTCCCGCTGACATTCCCCCTGGCATTCCCGCTGACATTCCCGCTGGCATTCCCGCTGACATTCCCGCTGACATTCCCGCTGACATTCCTGCCGACATTCCTGCTGACATTCCCGCTGGCATTCCCGCTGACATTCCCGCTGACATTCCCGCTGACATTCCCGCTGGCATTCCCCCTGGCATTCCCGCTGACATTCCCGCTGGCATTCCCGCTGACATTCCTGCTGACATTCCCGCTGACATTCCCGCTGACATTCCCGCCGACATTCCCGCCGGCATTCCCGCTGACATTCCTGCTGACATTCCCGCCGGCATTCCCTCCGACATTCCCGCCGACATTCCCGCTGACATTCCCGGCGTTCTCTGCCCGCTGACATTCCCGCTGACATTCCCGCTGGCATTCCCGCTGACATTCCCGCTGACATTCCCGCTGGCATTCCCGCTGACATTCCCGCTGACATTCCCACTGACATTCCCGCTGGCATTCCCGCTGACATTCCCGCTGGCATTCCCCCTGACATTCCCGCTGGCCTTCCCCCTGGCATTCCCACCGACATTCCCGCTGGCATTCCCGCGGGCATTCCCGCTGACATTCCCGCTGACATTCCCGCTGACATTCCCGCCGACATTCCCGCTGGCATTCCCGCTGGCATTCCCGCTGACATTCCCGCTGACATTCCCCCTGACATTCCCGCTGGCCTTCCCCCTGGCATTCCCGCTGGCATTCCCGCTGACATTCCCGGCGTTCTCTGCCCGCTGCAGGAAGGAGGTGGGCCTGGACCTCTTCTTCCCCACCCAGATGCTGGAGAACCTCAAGGTGAGGGACACGCGGGTGTGACAGGGCTGTGACACCTGCCACGTGTGTCACCGCACCCCTGTGTGTGTGTCCCTGTGTGTCCCTGTGGGTGTCCCTGTGGGTGTCCGTGTGTCTGTGTGTCCCTGTGTCCTTGTGTGTCCGTGTGTCCTTGTGAGTCCCTGTGTGTCCCTGTGGGTGTCCCTGTGTCTGTGTGTCCATGTGTCTGTGTGTCCGTGTGTCCTTGTGTGTCCGTGTGTGTCCCTGTGGGTGTCCCTGTGTCTGTGTGTCCATGTGTCTGTGTGTCCGTGTGTCCTTGTGTGTCCGTGTGTGTCCCTGTGGGTGTCCGTGTGTCTGTGTGTCCGTGTGTCTGTGTGTCCACATGTGTCCTTGTGTGTCCGTGTGTGTCCCTGTGTGTCCCTGTGGGTGTCCGTGTGTCTGTGTGTCCCTGTGGGTGTCCCTGTGTCTGTGTGTCCCTGTGTCCGTGTGTCCCTGTATCTGTGTTTCTGTGTGTGTCCATGTGTGTGTCCCTGTGTCCCTGTGTGTTCATGTGTCTGTGTGTCCACGTGTCCATGTGTGTCCCTGTGTGTCCGTGTTCCCATACCCAACCCTGCATCAATCCCAGTGTTCCCATACCCAACACTGTGTCCATCCCACTATTCCCAAATCCAACACCCCGTTCCCGTACCCGGCGTTCCCAAAACCCGACGTCGTGTCCATCCCCGCCGTTCCCGTATCCCGCGCCGATCCCGGTGTTGCCGGTGTTGTCCCGCCAGCCACGGCAGCTGCGGAAGATGATCCAGCAGACGTTCCAGCAGTCCACCTTCAGCCCCATCCCAGTGTTCCCATAATCAACACGGCCCCATCCCAGTGTTCCCGAATCCAACATCCCAGTGTTCCCATGTCCCACACTGTCCCCAGTCCCAGTGTTCCCATATCCAACACCGCGTCCATCCCGCCGTTCCCAAATCCAACACCCCGTTCCCATATCCCATACCGCCCCCAGTCCCAGTGTTCTCATATCCAACACTGCATCCATCCCGCCGTTCCCAAATCCAACACCCCCTTCCCGTACCCCACGCTGCCCCCATCCTGACCTTCCCAAACCCGACGTCGTGTCCATCCCCGCCGTTCCCAAATCCAGCACCCCGTTCCTGTACCCGGCGTTCCCAAACCCGACACCGTGTCCATCCCCTCCGTTCCTGTATCCGCCGCCCTATTCCCGTATCCCGCGCCAATCCTGGTGTTCCCGGTGTTGCCGGTGTTGTCCCGCCAGCCGCGGCAGCTGCGGAAGATGATCCAGCAGACGTTCCAGCAGTACGCGCTGCTGCGGGAGGAGGAGTGCGTCCTGAAATTCCTGCACACCCTGAGCACCTTTGCCCCCATCGACCAGGAGAGCTTCCGGTGCCAGCCGGTCGTGAGTGCCCGGAAAAATGGGAGACCGGGGATTTGGGGATGTGGGGATGTGGGGATGTGGGGATTTGGGATGTGGGGATTTGGGATGTGGGGATTTGGGATGTGGGATGTGGGATTTGGGATAGGGGATATGGGATAGGGGATATGGAATGTGGGATATGGGATAGGGGATGTGGGATATGGAATGTGGGATGTGGGATAGGGGATGTGGGATATGGGATGTGGGATGTGGGATTTGGGATTTGGGATGTGGGATATGGGATATGGGATAAGGGATGTGGGATATGGGATATGGGAGAGGTGATAGGGGATGTGGGATGTAAAATGTGGGATAGGGGATATGGGATATGGGATATAGGATATGGGATATGGGATATGGAATGTGGGATATGGGATATGGGATAGGGGATATGGGATATGGGATATGGGATAGGGGAATGGGATATGGGATTTGGGTATATGGGATTTGGGATAGGGGATATGGAATGTGGGATATGGGATAGGGGAGAGGGGATATGGGATGTGGGATATGGGATATGAGATGTCGGGTATGGGATTTGGGATATGGGATATGGGATATGGAGATGAGAGGCCACCAGGATGTTCCTGATGGTGATGTCCCTGGAATCCGTGGGATAATGGGATGTGGGATTTGGGATTTGGGATATGGTACGAGGGGATTAGGGATATGGCATAATGGGATATGGGATATGGGATAATGGGATAATGGGATAATAAGATATTAGATGGGATAATGGGATAATGGGATAATGGGATAATGGGATAATGGAATGTTGTGATAATGGGACAATGGGATAAAGGGATATGGAATATGGGATAGGGGATATGGGATATGGGATGTGGGATATGGGATAGGGGATAAAGGGATATGGGATAGGGGATATGGGATGTGGGATATGGGATAGGGGATATAGGATATGGGATATGGGATATGGGATATGGGATATGGGATGTGGGATATGGGATGCGGGATGTGGGATATGGGATATGGGATATGGGATACAGGATATGGGATATGGGATATGGGATACGGGATGGGATGGGCTGGGATGGCATACGGGATGGGACGGGACACCCTTGGAACGGACGTGGCGGACAGCAACGGAACGGGGCGGAGCGAGCCGGAGATGGGATGAGGGCGGGGCTGGGGTCTGATGGCGGTGGGGCGGGATCTGGCCTGCCCCTCGGGAACGCCCCTCATCCCAAATCGCAGCAAGGATGGAACATCACCGTGGACCTGGTGATCGGCCCCAAGGGCATCCGCCAGGTGACCGGCGAGGACACCAAGGTGGGAATGCCAGGCTGGGAATTGGGAACTCCCGCCCGCCCGCCGCGGGCTCGGGGAGGGGGTGAAACCTCCCCCGGATGGAATTCCCGATGCACTCCCCCCCTTCCCAGCCCACCTGCCTGGCGGAATTCCGGGATATCAAATCCATCCGGTGCTCCACCACCGAGGACGGGCAGGCCCTGCTGCAGCTGGGGCTGGGCGGGACCCCCCCGGTGAGGAGCTGGGGAGAATTCCTGGGAATGCCATAGCTCATATCCCACGTCCGATATCCCACATCCCATATTCCATATCCCATATCCCACATCCCCTATCCCACATCCCACATTCCATCTTCCCTATCCCATATTCCCTATCCCACATCCCATATCCCATATCCCATATTCCACATTCCATATCCCACATCCCATATCCCATATCCCATATCCCACATCCCCTATCCCACATCCCATATCTCCTATCCCATATCCCATATCCCACATCCCACATCCCATATGCCACATCCCCTATCCCACATCCCACATCCCAGATTCCCATATCCCACATCCCATATCCAATATTCCACCTTCCATTTCTTACATCGCATGTCCCCTATCCCATATCCCATATCCCACATCCCATATCCCCTATCCTACATCCCACATCCCATATCCCATATCCCCTATCCCACATGCCATATCCCATATCCCATATCCCCTATCCCATATCCCCTATCCCATATCTCAAATCCCACATCCCATAATCCACATCCCCTATCCCATATCCCAAATCCCCTATCCCATATCCCACATCCCACATCCCATATCCCATATCTTGGGTGCCATCCTGGGTGTCATGGAATCCTGGGAGGGGTGGTTATGGAAAACTGGGATCGGGGTGAAGGGGTGATCCTGATCCATGGGATGGTGGGATGGGATCAGGGTGGGATCAGGGAGAAGGGGTGACCCCGATCCATGGGATGGCGGGATGGGATCAGGGATGGGATGGGGGTGAAGGGGTGACCCCGATCCATGGGATGGGCAGGATGGGATCAGGGATGGGATTGGGGAGAAGGAGTGACCCCGATCCATGGGATGCCGGGATGGGATCAGGGATGGGATCGGGGATGGGATCAGGGTGGGATCAGGGTGAAGGGGTGACCCCGATCCATGGGATGGCGGGATGGGATCAGGGATGGGATGCCGGGATGGGATCAGGGTGGGATCAGGGTGAAGGGGTGACCCCAATCCATGGGATGGCGGGATGGGATCAGGGACGGGATCGGGGATGGGATGGGGGTGAAGGGGTGACCCTGATCCATGGGATGCCGGGATGGGATCAGGGATGGGATCGGGATGAAGGGGTGACCCTGATCCATGGGATGCCGGGATGGGATCGGGGATGGGATGGGGGTGAAGGGGTGACCCCGATGCCATGGTCCCACCCCGGCATTCCCAGTCGCTGTCGATCCGGACGTCGTCGCTGGCCGAGGCGGAGAACATGGCCGACCTGATTGATGGATACTGCCGGCTCCAGGGGGGAACGGAGACCTCGCTCATCGCCTTCCCCGGGAAAGGTGGGGATGCGGCCGGGTGGCCTGATGGGATCCATGGGATCGTGGGATCATGGGATCATGGGATCCATGGGGTGGCATCCATGGGGTGGGATAATGGGATGGGATAATGGGATGGGATGGGATGGAGAGAAAGGATGGAGATGGGATGGGATCCATGGGGTGGGATCCATGGGATGGGATAATGGGATGGGATGGAGAGAAAGGATGGAGATGGGATGGGATCCATGGGATCCATGGGATCCATGGGATAATGGGATAACGGGATAATGGGATTCAGGGGATGGGGTGGGGTAATGGGATGGGATCAGATCATGGGATGGAATGGGATCCATGGCACGGGGTCATGGGATGCAATCCATGGGATGGGATGGGATGGGATGGGATGGGATTGGGACGGGATGGGATGGGATGGGATCATGGAATGGGATGGGATTGGGATGGGATCAATGGGTTGGGATAAGGGGATGGGATTGATGGGATGGGATGGGATGGAATCAATGGGATGGGATTGGGATGGGATAATAGGATGGGATGGGATCCATGGGATGGGATGGGATGAGATCAATGGGATGGGATCCAGGGCATGGGATGGGATCCATGGGATGGGATCCATGGGATCATGGGATGGGAATATAGGTAGTGTTGGAATGGGGTGGAGTGGATGGGATGAAGATGGGATTGGGATGAGACTGAGATGGGATTGGGACGGAATTGGGAATTGGGAATTGGGAATTGGGAATGGGGATGGGACCTTTCCCCGCCCTCCCCGCAGATCGTGAGAAGAGGATCAGCCTCCCGCAGATCCCGGCCCCGTGAGTGATCCCCAGCCCTTTTCCCGGGATTCCCCATCCCCGGCGCGGGGCTGGGATCCCGTTCCGCTCCCTGACCCTCTTCCCACCCTCAGGAATCTCGGGGAGCGGCTCTCCACGCTTTCCCACAGCACCAGCGGCGGTGAGTGCCCGTTCCCACCGTCCCCATTCCCACCGTCCCCATTCCCACCGTCCCCATTCCCACCATCCCCGTTCCCACCGTCCCCGTTCCCACCATCCCCATTCCCACCATCCCCGTTCCCACCGTCCCCATTCCCACCATCCCCATTCCCACCGTCCCCGTTCCCACCGTCCCCCTTCCCACCGTCCCCATTCCCACCGTCCCCCTTCCCACCGTCCCCGTTCCCACCATCCCCATTCCCACCGTCCCCGTTCCCACCGTCCCCGTTCCCACCATCCCCATTCCCACCATCCCCGTTCCCACCGTCCCCGTTCCCACCATCCCCATTCCCACCATCCCCGTTCCCACCGTCCCCGTTCCCACCATCCCCATTCCCACCATCCCCATTCCCACCGTCCCCGTTCCCACCGTCCCCATTCCCACCGTCCCCGTTCCCACCGTCCCCATTCCCACCGTCCCCATTCCCACCATCCCCGTTCCCACCGTCCCCGTTCCCACCGTCCCCATTCCCACCCGTTCCCACCGTCCCCGTTCCCACCATCCCCATTCCCACCATCCCCATTCCCACCATCCCCGTTCCCACCGTCCCCGTTCCCACCATCCCCGTTCCCACCATCCCCATTCCCACCGTCCCCATTCCCACCGTCCCCGTCCCCACCGTCCCCATTCCCACTGTCCCAGTTCCCACCGTCCCCATTCCCACCCGTTCCCACCATCCCCATTCCCACCGTCCCCGTTCCCACCGTCCCCATTCCCACCGTCCCCGTTCCCACCGTCCCCATTCCCACCGTCCCCATTCCCACCGTCCCCATTCCCACTGTCCCCATTCCCACCATCCCCGTTCCCACCGTCCCCATTCCCACCATCCCCATTCCCACCCGTTCCCACCATCCCCATTCCCACCGTCCCCATTCCCACCATCCCCATTCCCACCATCCCCATTCCCACCATCCCCGTTCCCACCATCCCCATTCCCACCATCCCCGTTCCCACCGTCCCCGTTCCCACCATCCCCATTCCCACCATCCCCGTTCCCACCGTCCCCGTTCCCACCGTCCCCATTCCCACCGTCCCCATTCCCACCTGTTCCCACCGTCCCCGTTCCCACCGTCCCCGTTCCCACCGTCCCCGTTCCCACCGTCCCCATTCCCACCGTCCCCGTTCCCACCGTCCCCATTCCCACCATCCCCATTCCCACCGTCCCCATTCCCACCGTCCCCGTTCCCACCGTCCCCATTCCCACCATCCCCATTCCCACCGTCCCCATTCCCACCCGTCCCCATTCCCACCATCCCCATTCCCATCATCCCCGTTCCCACCGTCCCCGTTCCCACCATCCCCGTTCCCACCGTCCCCGTTCCCACCGTCCCCGTTCCCACCGTCCCCGTTCCCACCGTCCCCATTCCCACCGTCCCCGTTCCCACCCGTTCCCACCATCCCCATTCCCACCTGTTCCCACCATCCCCATTCCCACCGTCCCCATTCCCACCGTCCCCGTTCCCACTGTCCCGCTCCGGGGCGCGTTCCGTGTGGGATTCGGGAACGCTGGACACGCCCAGCTCTTCTCCAGAGGGTTGGGATGCATCCCAGCGTCCTGAGGGGAGCACCAGACCCTCTGGAGATGCTGGAAGACCTCCCACGCCCCACCGAACCTCCTGATCCCGTTCCCGTGTCCCGTTCGCTCCCCCAGATTCCGAAATCTACGCGGAAATCCTGGACGAGTCCTCAAGGCCGAGATCTGGAAGTAGGTGGCTCCCGTGGGAATTCTGCGGCCCAGGTGTCCCAGTCCCTCCTGCCCTGTCCCAAATTCCCGTCCCGGCCTCACCGAAGCTCCTGGAAGGTCCTGGGGGAGCTTGGGATGGGGCGTGAGGCAGGATCCATGGATCCATGTGGGAACGATGGAGAGGGCGGGATCCATGGATCCTCATGGATCTTCATGGATGGATCCATGGATCTTCATGGATCCTCATGGAAGGATCCATGGATCCTGATGGATCCTCATGGATCTGTATGGGTGAAGTGGGCAGGATCCATGGAACGTCATGGATCCTCATGGATCTTCATGGATGGAGAGGGCAGGATCCATGGATTATCATGGATCCTCATGGATCATTATGGATGGAGAGGACAAGATCCACGGATCCATGTGGGAAATTTGGAGAGGCCAGCATCCATGGATCCTCATGGATCCTCATGGATCCTCACAGATGGACAGAGTAGGATCCATGGACCTTCATGGATGGAGATGGGAGGATCCATGATCTTCATGGATGGAGAGGGCAGCATCCATGGATCCTCATGGATCCTCATGGATGGAGATGGGAAGATCCATGAAACCTGATGGATTGTTATGGATGGAGAGGGCAGGCTCCATGGATCCATATGGAAATTTTGGAGAAGCCAGCATCCATGGATCCTCGTGGATCTTCCTGGATGGAGATGGGAGGATCCATGGATTGTCATGGCTCCTCATGGGTGGAGATGGGAGGATCCATGGATCCATGTGGCTCCTCATGGATGGAGATGGGAGCATCCATGGATTGTCATGGCTCCTCATGGCTCCTCATGGATGGAGATGGGAGCATCCATGGATCCATGTGGGAACTCTGGGGATGGGAGCATCCATGGATCCATGTGGGAACTCTGGGGATGGGAGCATCCATGGATCCAGGTGGAAGCTCTGGTGATGGGACCATCCATGGATCCATGTGGGAGCTCTGGAGTTGGGAGCATCCATGGATCCATGTGGAAAATCTGGCGATGAGAGGATCCATGGATCCATGTGGGAACTCTGGAGATGGGAGGATCCATGGCTCCTTGTGGCTCCTCATGGATGGAGATGGGAGCATCCATGGATCCATGTGGGAACTCTGGGGATGGGAGCATCCATGGATCCTCATGGCTCCTCATGGGTGGAGATGGGAGCATCCATGGATTGTCATGGCTCCTCATGGCTCCTCATGGATGGAGATGGGAGCATCCATGGATCCATGTGGAAGTTCTGGAGATGGGAGCATCCATGGATCCATGTGGGAACTCTGGCGATGGGAGCATCTACGGATCCATGTGGCTCCTCCTGGCTCCTCATGGATGGAGATGGGAGCATCCATGGATCCATGTGGAAGCTCTGACAATGGGATCATCCATGGATCCATGTGGGAACTCTGGGGATGGGAGGATCCAAGGATCCTCATGGCTCCTCATGGATGGAGATGGGAGGATCCACGGATCCAGGTGGAAGCTCTGACAATGGGATCATCCATGGCTCCATGTGGAAGTTCTGGAGATGGGAGCATCCATGGCTCCTCCTGGCTCCTCATGGATGGAGATGGGAGCATCCATGGATCCATGTGGAAGCTCTGGAGATGGGATCCTCACGGATCCATGTGGAAGCTCTGGGGATGGGAGCATCCATGGATCCATGTGGGAACTCTGGGGATGGGAGGATCCATGGATCCAGGTGGAAGCTCTGGGGATGGGAGCATCCATGGATCCATGTGGGAACTCTGGGGATGGGAGGATCCATGGATCCAGGTGGAAGTTCTGGAGATGGGAGCATCCGTGGATCCAGGTGGAAGCTCTGGAGATGGGAGCATCCATGGATTGTCATGGCTCCTCATGGGTGAAGATGGGAGCATCCAGGGATTGTCATGGCTCCTCATGGGTGGAGATGGGAGCATCCATGGATCCATGTGGGAACTCTGGGGATGGGATCCTCACGGATCCATGTGGAAGCTCTGGAGATGGGACCATCCATGGCTCCTCATGGCTCCTCATGGATGGAGATGGGAGCATCCATGGATCCATGTGGAAACTCTGGCGATGAGAGGATCCATGGATCCATGTGGAAGTTCTGGAGATGGGAGCATCCATGGATCCATGTGGCTCCTCATGGATGGAGATGGGACCATCCATGGATTCTCATGGCTCCTCATGGCTCCTCATGGATGGAGATGGGAGCATCCAGGTCCATGTGGCTCCTCACGGCTCCTCATGGATGGAGATGGGAGCATCCATGGATCCATGTGGCTCCTCATGGATGGAGATGGGAGCATCCATGGCTCCATGTGGAAGCTCTGGGGATGGGAGCATCCATGGATCCTTGTGGGAACTCTGGCGATGGGATCCTCACGGATCCATGTGGAAGCTCTGGGGATGGGAGCATCCATGGATCCATGTGGGAACTCTGGGGATGGGAGGATCCATGGATCCATGTCATGGCTCCTCATGGGTGGAGATGGGAGCATCCATGGATCCATGTGGAAGCTCTGGCAATGGGATCATCCATGGCTCCATGTGGAAGCTCTGGCGATGGGAGCATCCATGGATTGTCATGGCTCCTCATGGATGGAGATGGGATCCTCACGGATCCATGTGGAAGCTCTGGTGATGGGAGCATCCATGGGTCCATGTGGAAGCTCTGGCCATGGGATCCTCATGGATCCATGTGGAAGCTCTGGAGATGGGAGCATCCATGGCTCCTCATGGATCCTCATGGATGGAGATGGGAGGATCCATGGATCCATGTGGAAGTTCTGGAGATGGGAGCATCCATGGATCCTTGTGGAAACTCTGGAGATGGGAGCATCCATGGATCCATGTGGCTCCTCATGGATGGAGATGGGACCATCCATGAATTCTCATGGCTCCTCCTGGCTCCTCATGGATGGAGATGGGAGCATCCATGGATCCTTGTGGAAACTCTGGAGATGGGAGCATCCATGGATCCATGTGGGAACTCTGGGGATGGGAGGATCCATGGATCCTTGTGGCTCCTCATGGGTGGAGATGGGAGCATCCATGGATTCTCATGGCTCCTCCTGGCTCCTCATGGGTGGAGATGGGACCATCCATGGATCCATGTGGGAACTCTGGCGATGGGAGCATCCATGGATCCATGTCATGGCTCCTCATGGCTCCTCATGGGTGGAGATGGGAGCATCCACGGATCCATGTGGAAACTCTGGGGATGGGAGCATCCATGGGTCCTTGTGGCTCCTCATGGATGGAGATGGGAGCATCCATGGATCCATGTGGAAGCTCTGGCGATGGGACCATGCACGGATCCATGTGGGAACTCTGGGGATGGGGATAGGAGCATCCATGGCTCCTCATGGCTCCTCATGGATGGAGATGGGAGCATCCATGGATCCATGTGGGAACTCTGGAGATGGGAGCATCCATGGCTCCATGTGGTTCCTCATGGCTCCTCATGGATGGAGATGGGAGCATCCATGGATCCATGTGGAAGCTCTGGAGATGGGAGCATCCATGGCTCCTCATGGCTCCTCATGGATGGAGATGGGAGAATCCATGGATTGTCATGGCTCCTCATGGGTGGAGATGGGAGCATCCAGGGATTGTCATGGCTCCTCATGGCTCCTCATGGATGGAGGATCCATGTGGAAGCTCTGGAGATGGGAGCATTCACGGATCCATGTGGAAGCTCTGGCGATGGGAGCATCCATGGATCCATGTCATGGCTCCTCATGGCTCCTCATGGGTGGAGATGGGACCATCCACAGATCCATGTGGAAGCTCTGGCGATGGGATCCTCACGGATCCATGTGGAAGCTCTGGAGATGGGACCATCCATGGCTCCTCACGGCTCCTCATGGATGGAGATGGGATCCTCCACGGCTCCTCCTGGCTCCTCCTGGTCCCTGGAGCCCAGGGCGGTGCCTGCTGGCCGTGGACACCTCCCGGCCGCTGTCCCCCGCGCTCACGCAGTGTCCCCGTCCCCGTTCCCGTTGCAGCTCAGCCCTTTGGCATCAGCCGCGAGGCCGTGGCGCTGGGCCGCATCCTGGGCGAAGGCTTCTTCGGAGAGGTCTACCAGGGCACCTACACCACGCCCGTGAGAGCCCGACCCCAAACCCCGAACCCCAAACCCCAAATCCCCGGCTCCGGGGTGCCCCATTCCCGCTTTTCCCCCCTCTCCTGTCCTGTCCTGTCCCCCGGCAGAAGGGGGAGCGCCTGGACGTGGCCGTCAAGACCTGCAAGAAGGATTGCAGCCCCGAGAACCGCGAGAAGTTCCTCAGCGAGGCCGGTACCCGCGCACAGGGGGCGGCACGGGGGCGTCTTGGGGGATCCTGAGGGTCCTTTTGGGGTTCCTGAGGGTCCTTTTGGGGGTCTTTGGGGATCCTGAGGGTCCTTTTGGGGTTCCCGAGGGTCCTTTTGGGGTTCCTGAGGGTCCTTTTCGGGGTTTTGGGGGGTATCCTGAGGGTCCTTTTGGGATTTTTGGGCTGATTCTGAGGGTCCTTTGGGGTTTTTTGGGGTTCCTGAGGGTCCTTTCAGGGTTCCCAAGGGTCCTTTTGGGATTTTTGGGTGATTCTGGGGATTTTTGGGGGGTTCCTGAGGGTCCTTTTGAGATTTTTGGGGTTTCTGAGGGTCCTTTTGGGGTTTTTGGGGTTCCTGAGGGTCTTTTTGGGGCGATCCTGAGGGTCCTTTTGGGGTTCTTGGGGTTCCTGAGGGTCTTTTTGGGGTTCCTGAGGGTCCTTTTGGGGTTCTTTGGGGTTCCTGAGGGTCCTTTTGGGATTTTGGGGGGATCCTGAGGGTCCTTTTGGGATTTTGGGGGGATCCTGAGGGTCCTTTTGGGGTTCCTGAGGGTCCTTTTGAAATTTTTGGGGTTCCTGAGGGTCCTTTTGGGTTTCTGGGGGGATCCTGAGGGTCCTTTTGGGGTTCCTGAGGGTCCCTTTGGGGGTTCCTGAGGGTCTCTTCGGGGTTCCTGAGGGTCCTTTTGGGATTTTTGGGGTTTCTGAGGGTCCTTTTGGAATTTTGGGGGGATCCTGAGGGTCCTGCCATGATTTATTTGGGATCCTGAGGGTTCTGCTGAAGATTTTGGGGATCTTGGACCATTGGGTCCTTTTTGGGATTTTTGGGGTTCCTGAGGGTCCTTTTGGGATTATTTGGATTCTGAGGGTCCTGACATGATTTATTTGGGATCCTGGGGGTCCTTTTGGGGTTTTTGGGGGGATCCTGAGGGTCCTGCTAATGAAGGTTTTGGGGATCTTGAACCTTTGGGATCTTGGACCATTGGATCCTTTTGGGATTTTTGGGGTTCCTGAGGATCCTTTGGGGATTTTTGGGGTTCCTGAGGTTCCTACCATGATTTATTTGGGAGCCTGAGGGTCCTTTTGGGGATTTTTGGGGCGATTCTGAGATTCCTGCCATGATTTTTTTGGGGTCCCTGAGGGTCCTTTTGGGATTTTTGGAGTTCCTGAAGGTCCTTTTGGGATTTTTTTGGGATCCTGAGGGTCCTGCCGGGGTTTTCTTGGGTATCCCAAAGCAACGAGGAGCCCCTTGGGCATTCGGGATGGAGGATGGAGGAGTTGATCCATGCCCGGAATCCCGGGACGGGATCCCAAAAAGCCCCGGATCTCGGGGGGAAGGAGGGAGGGGATGGAGGGGATTCCAGCCCCGGTGCCGTGTTCCCGCAGTGCTGATGAAGAAGCTGGAGCACCCCCACATCGTGAAGCTCATCGGCATCGCCGAGGACGAGCCCACCTGGATCATCATGGAGCTCTACCCCTACGGAGAGGTGAGACAGACACGGCCCCGGCCCCGATCCCGATCCCAATCGCAATCCTGGCCCTGATCCCGGCCCCGATCCCGGCCCCGATCCCGATCCCGGCCCCGATCCCGATCCCGACCCCAATCCCGACCTCGTGGATGGAGAGGACAGGATCCATGGATCCATGTGGGAATGATGGAGAGGGCAGGAGCCATGGATCCTCACAGAGCCTCATGGATCCTCATGGATGGAGAGGGCAGGAGCCATGGATCCTCATGGACCTTCATGGATCCTCATGGATCTGCATGGGTGAAGAGGGCAGGATCCATGGATCCTCATGGATGGGGCCTGCAGGATCCATGGATCCATGTGGGAATTTTGGAGAGGGCAGGAGCCATAGATCCTCATGGATCCTCATGGATGGAGAGAGCAGGAGCCATGGATCCATGCGGGAATGATGGAGAGGGCAGGGGCCATGGATCCTCATGGATCTTCATGGATCCTCATGGAAGGATCCATGGATACTTGTGGATCTTCATGGATGGAGAGGGCAGGATCCATGGAGCCTCATGGATGGAGATGGGAGGATCTATGGATCCTCATGGATGGAGAGGGCAGGAGCCATAGATCCATGTGGGAATGATGGAGAGGGCAGGATCCATGGATCCTCAGGGATCCTCATGGATCCTCATGGATGGAGATGGCAGGATCCATGGACCTTCATGGATGGAGAGGACAGGATCCATGGAGCCTCACAGATCCTCATGGATCTGCCTGGGTGAAGAGGGTAGGATCCATGGATCCTCATGGATGGAGATGGGAGGATCCATGAATCCATGTGGGAATGATGGAGAGGGCAGGATCCATGGATCCTCATGAATGGAGATGGGAGTATCTATGGAACGCCATGGATCATCATGGATCCTCATGGATGGAGAGGACAGAATCCATGGATCATCACGGATCCTCATGGATGGAGACGGCATGATCCATGGATCCTCATAGATCCTCATGGATCCTCATGGATGGAGAGGGCAGAATCCATGGATCCTCATGGATCACGGATGGAGAGGGCAGAATCCATGGATCCCCGCGGATCCTCACGGATGGGCAGTGCTGGATCCCCACGGATCCCCGCGGATGGTCAGGGCAGGATCCATGGATCCTCACGGATCCCCACGGATGGTCGGTGCGGGATCCCCACGGATCCCCGCGGATGGTCAGTGCGGGATCCATGGATCCCTGCGGATGGTCAGTGCGGGATCCATGGATCCCCACGGATGGTCAGGGCAGGATCCATGGATCCTCATGGATGGTCAGTGTGGGATCCCTGGATCCCCGCGGATGGTCAGGGCGGGATCCCTGGATCCCCACGGATCCCCGCGGATGGTCAGTGCGGTATCCGTGTGGGTGTGCCGCGGTGTGTGCCGCCGTTTCCGGGCTGATCCCGTGGGGAATGCGCTCCGTTGCAGCTGGGCCAGTACCTGGAGCAGAACCGGGCGGGCCTGGCCGTGCCCACGCTGGTGCTGTTCGCGCTGCAGGTCAGCAAGGCCCTGGCCTACCTGGAGGCCCTCAGCTGCGTCCACAGGTGAGCCCCGCAGGATACGGGATACGGGATATGGGATTCGGGATGCGGGATGCGGGATGCGGGATGCGGGATCCGGGATACGGGATACGGGATTTGGGATACGGGATATGGGATGCGGGATGCGGGATGCGGGATACGGGATGCAGGATTTGGGATTTGGGATTTGGGATTCGGGATACGGGATATGGGATACGGGATTTGGGATACGGGATACGGGATACGGGATACGGCATACGGGATCCGGCATACGGGATGCAGGATTTGGGATTTGGGATTCGGGATACGGGATGCGGGATACGGGATTCGGGATTTGGGATTCGGGATACGGGATACGGGATACGGGATGCGGGATACGGGATATGGGATTTGGGATTCGGGATACGGGATGCGGGATGCGGGATGCGGGACGCGGGATACGGGATATGGGATACGGGATCCGGGATACGGCATACGGGACACGGGACACGGGATCCGGGATCCGGGATACGGGATGCGGGATGCGGGATACGGGATACGGGATTTGGGATTCGGGATACGGGATTTGGGATTCGGGATACGGGATGCGGGATACGGGATACGGGATGCGGGATACGGGATACGGGATTTGGGATACGGGATACGGGATGCGGGATGCGGGATTCGGGATACGGGATACAGGATGCGGGATGCGGGATTCGGGATATGGGATACGGGATACGGGATACGGGATACAGGATGCGGGATGCGGGATATGGGATACGGGATACGGGATACGGGATCCGGGATTTGGGATTTGGGATTCGGGATGGGGCCGGAGCCCCATGGAATTCCGGGGTGATGGGGGGGGGGTGGGTGGTGGGAGATGGGGCTGGGGGCAGGGGTGGGGAGGGGGGTGGAGGCTCTGGGAGCTGCACGGGTTGGGTGAGGCTGCTCCTGCTCCGGCCCATCTGCAGCCGTCCCGTTATCCCAGTATCCCAGTATCCCATCATCCCATCATCCCGTCATCCCGTTATCCCATCATCCCATTGTCCCATTATCCCATTATCCCATTGTCCCATCATTCCATTATCCCATTATCCCATTATCCCATCATCCATTATCCCATTATCCCATTGTCCCATTATCCCATTATACAATATCACATTATCCCATCATCCCATTATCCCATCATCCCATCATTCCATTATCCCACTATCCCATTATCCCAATATCCCATAATCCCATTGTCCCATCATCCCATCATCCCATCATCCCATCATCCATTATCCCATTATCCCATTATCCCATTATCCCATTATCCCATTATCCCAATATCCCATTATCCCATCATCCCATCCCATCCCACAGATCCCATCCGATCTCACCCCATTATCGCATCCCATATCCCACATCCCATATCCCATATCCGCTGGTATCCCAAGTCCCATATCCTGGTATCCCATTATCCCAATATCACATTATCCTGATATCCCATTATCCCATTATCCCATATCCCAGATCCCATTATCCCATGGGTCCCAAATCCCATTTCCCATTATCCCACGGATCCCATTATTCCATATCCCCTATCCCATATCCCATTATCCCTTATCCCATTATCCCACGGATCCCAAATCCCAGGGACGTTGCCGTCAGGAACATCCTGGTGGCTCCTCCATTATCCCCTATCCCCTATCCCATTATCCCATGGATCCCAAATCCCAAATTCCGTTAACTATCCCATGGATCTCAAATCCCAGCGACGTCGCCGTCCAGAACATCCTGCTGGCCTCCCCACTCCATTATCCCATTATCCCAAATTCCTAATCCCATCCGAGCCCATTATCCCATCCCATCCCATCCCATCCCATCCCATCATTCCGATATCCCATTATACCATCCAATATCCCATATCCCATACCCAAAATCCCAAATCCCATAATCCCATCCCATATCCCATATCCCATATCCCAAATCCTATTATCCCATTATCCCGTTATCCCATCCAATTATCCCAAATCCCCAATTCCATTATACCATCTGATATCCTGTTATCCCATATATCCCATATATCCCATATATCCCATATATCCCATATATCCCACGGATCCCGAATCCCAGGGACATCGCCATCCGGAACATCCTGGTGGCCTCTCCTCTCCATTAGCATATCCCATTATCCCATTATCCCATTATCCCACATCCCAAATCCCATGGATCCCATGGATCCCGAATCCCAGGGACATCGCCGTCCGGAACATCCTGGTGGCCTCTCCTCTCCATTAGCATATCCCATTATCCCATTTTCCCATTTTCCCATTTTCCCAAATCCCACATCCCATGGATCTCCATGGATCCCATGGATCCCAGATCCCAAATCCCAGGGACATCGCCATCAGGAACATCCTGGTGGCCTCTCCTCTCCATTATCCCATTTTCCCATTATCCCATTATCCCAAATCCCAAATCCCACGGATCCCACGGATCCCACGGACCCCACTGATCCCACGGATCCCACGAATCCCAGGGACATCGCCGTCCGGAACATCCTGGTGGCCTCTCCTCTGCATTAGCATATCCCATTGTCCCAAATCCCATTTTCCCAAATCCCATGGATCCCACGGATCCCATGGATCCCACGGATCCCACGGATCCCGAATCCCAGGGACATCGCCGTCCGGAACATCCTGGTGGCCTCTCCTCTCCATTATCCCATTTCCCAGATCCCATATCCCATTATCCCACATCCCCTATCCCATGTATCCCAAACCCCATATCCCATGGATTCCACGGATCCCGAATCCCAGGGACATCGCCCTCCGGAACATCCTGGTGGCCTCTCCTCTGCATTAGCATATCCCATTATCCCATTATCCCATTATCCCACATCCCAAATGCCATGGATCCCATGGATCCCATGGATCCCAAAACCCAGGGACATCACCATCCGGAACATCCTGGTGGCCTCTCCTCTCCATTATCCCATATCCCATTATCCCATTTTCCTAAATCCCAAATCCCACATCCCAAATCCCAAATGCCATGGATCCCATGGATCCCATGGATTCCACGGATCCCGAATGCCAGGGACATCGCCGTCCGGAACATCCTGGTGGCCTCTCCTCTCCATTAGCATATCCCATTTTCCCATTATCCCATTTTCCCATTTTCCCAAATCCCACATCCCACATCCCATGGATCTCCATGGATCCCATGGATCCCAGATCCCAAATCCCAGGGACATCGCCGTCCGGAACATCCTGGTGGCCTCTCCTCTCCATTATCCCATTTCCCAAATCCCATATCCCATTATCCCACGTCCCCTATCCCATGTATCCCAAACCCCATATCCCATGGATCCCACGGATCCCGAATCCCAGGGACATCGCCATCAGGAACATCCTGGTGGCCTCTCCTCTCCATTAGCATATCCCATTATCCCATTATCCCATTATCCCACATCCCAAATGCCATGGATCCCATGGATCCCATGTATCCCACTGATCCTGAATCCCAGGGACATCGCCATCAGGAACATCATGGTGGCCTCTCCTCTCCATTAGCGTATCCCATTATCCCATTATCCCATTTTCCCAAATCCCAAATCCCACATCCCAAATGCCAAATCCCATGGATCCCATGTATCCCATGGATCCCAAATCCAAGGGACATCGCCATCAGGAACATCCTGGTGGTCTCTCCTCTCCATCATCCCATATCCCATTTTCCCAAATCCCATTTTCCCAAATGCCAAATCCCATGTATCCCACGGATCCTGAATCCCAGGGACATCACCGTCAGGAACATCCTGGTGGCCTCTCCTCTCCATTATCCCATATCCCATTTTCCCAAATCCCAAATCCTATTTTCCCAAATCCCACATACCAAATGCCACGGATCCCATGGATCCCATGGATCCCAAATCCCAGGGACATCGCCATCAGGAACATCCTGGTGGCCTCTCCTCTCCATTAGCATATCCCATTATCCCATTTTCCCATTTTCCCAAATCCCATTTTCCCATATCCCAAATCCCAAATGCCACATCCCATGGATCCCATGGATCCCATGGATCCCAAATCCCAAATCCCAGGGACATCGCCATCCAGAACATCCTGGTGGCCTCTCCTCTCCATTATCCCATTTCCCAAATCCCAAATCCCACATCCCACATCCCATGGATCTCCATGGATCCCATGGATCCCACGGATCCCGAATCCCAGGGACATCGCCGTCAGGAACATCCTGGTGGCCTCTCCTCTCCATTAGCATATCCCATTATCCCAAATCCCAAATCCCAAATCCCACATCCCAAATGCCACGGATCCCACGGATCCCACGGATCCCATGGATCCCACGGATCCCACGAATCCCAGGGACATCGCCGTCCAGAACATCCTGGTGGCCTCTCCTCTCCATTAGCATATCCCATTTTCCCAAATCCCATTTTCCCAAATCCCATGGATCCCACGGATCCCATGAATCCCAGGGACATCGCCGTCCGGAACATCCTGGTGGCCTCCCCGGAGTGCGTCAAGCTCGGCGACTTCGGCCTCTCCCGCTACATCGAGGATGAGGAGTACTACAAAGGTGGGATCCCTCCCGCGGGATCGGGGGCGCCGGGGATCCCCCGGGATCCCCAGGGACGGCCGGGCATGGGGGAAACGCGGGATCGGGATCATTCCCGGCCTCGTTCCAGCTTCCGTCTCCCGCCTCCCCATCAAGTGGATGGCGCCCGAATCCATCAACTTCCGGCGCTTCACCACGGCCAGCGACGTCTGGATGTTCGGTGAGAGAGGCGGGAACCAACGGCGGGAACCAACGGCGGGAACGGCGGGATCCTGGGATTCAGAACCGGGGGGGGGGGTGGGATCCCGGGATTCAGAATCATGGGGGGATCCTGGGATTCAGAGGGGGATCCTGGGATTCAGAATTGTGGGATCCTGGGATTCATCATCGTGGGATGGGATCCTGGGTTTCAGAGTGGGATTCTGGGATTCATCATCGTGGGATGGGATCCTGGGATTCAGAGGGGGATCCCGGGATTCAGAGGGGGATCCTGGGATTCAGCATCATGGGGTGAGATCCTGGGATTCAGAATGGGATTCTGAGATTCAGCATCATGGGGTGGGATCCTGGGATTCAGAGTGGGATTCTGGGACTCAGAATCGTGGGATCTGGGGATTCAGAATGGGATCCTGGGATTCAGAATTGGGGGATCCTGGGATTCAGAATTGGGGGATCCGGGGATTCAGAGGGGGATCCCGGGATTCATCATCGTGGGATGGGATCCCAGGATTCAGAGGGGGACCCTCGGATTCAGAATCGTGGGGTGGGATCCTGGGATTCAGAATTGGGGGATCTGGGGATTCAGAGTGGGATCCTGGGATTCAGAGGGGGATCCTGATATTCAGCATCGTGGGGTGAGATCCCAGGATTCAGAATGGGATTCTGAGATTCAGAATCGTGGGGCGGGACGCTGGGATTCAGAACTGTGGGATCTGGGGATTCAGAGTGGGATCCTGGGATTCAGAATTGGGGGATCCTGGGATTCAGAATTGGGGGATCCCGGGATTCAGAATTGGGGGATCCTGGGATTCAGAATTGGGGGATGGGATCCCGGGATTCAGAGGGGGACCCTCGGATTCAGAATCGTGGGATGGGATCCCAGGATTCAGAATTGGGGGATCCCGGGATTCAGAATCGGGGGGATCCTGGGATTCAGAGGGGGATCCTGGGATTCATCATCGTGGGGTGGGATCCCAGGATTCAGAGGGGGACCCTGGGATTCAGAATTGTGGGGTGGGAGCCCGGGATTCAGAATTGGGGGATCCTGGGATTCAGCATCGTGGGGTGGGATCCTGGGATTCAGAATTGGGGGATCCTGGGATTCAGAGGGGGATCCCAGGATTCAGAGGGGGATCCCGGGATTCATCATCATGGGGTGGGATCCTGGGATTCATCGTCGTGGGGTGGCATCCTGGGATTGATCCACTTCCCATGGAATGGAGCGGGATCCTGGGATCGATCCGCTTCCCGAGGTGTGGGATGGGATCCTGGGATTCAGAATGGGATCCCAGAATTCATCATCATGGAATGGGATCCTGGGATTGATCGGGTTCCCATGGCATGGAGTGGGATCCTGGGATTCAGAATTGTGGGATCCTGGGATTCATCATTGTGGGGTGGGATCCTGGGATTCAGAGGGGGATCCCAGGATTCAGAGGGGGATCCCGGGATTCAGAATCATGGAGTGGGATCCTGGGATTCAGAATTGGGGGATCCTGGGATTCAGCATCATGGGGTGGGACCCTGGGATTCAGAGGGGGACCCTGGGATTCAGAATTGTGGGGTGGGATCCTGGGATTCAGAATAGTGGGATCCTGGGATTCAGCATCGGGGGGTGGGATCCTGGGATTCAGAATCGTGGGATCTGGGGATTCAGAGGGGGATCCTGGGATTCAGAATTGTGGGATCCTGGGATTCATCATCGTGGGGTGGGATCCTGGGATTCATCATCGTGGGGTGGGAGCCCGGGATTCAGAATTGGGGGATCCTGGTATTCAGCATCGTGGGGTGGGATCCTGGGATTCAGAGGGGGATCCTGGGATTCAGAATGGGGGATCCTGGGATTCAGAATTGGGGGATCCTGGGATTCAGAATTGGGGGATCCTGGGATTCAGAATTGGGGGATCCTGGGATTCAGAGGGGGATCCCAGGATTCAGAGGGGGATCCCGGGATTCATCATCATGGGGTGGGATCCTGGGATTCAGAATCTTGGGGTGGGATCTGGGGATTGATCCACTTCCCATGGAATGGAGCGGGATCCTGGGATCGATCCGCTTCCCGAGGTGTGGGATGGGATCCTGGGATTCAGAATGGGATCCCAGAATTCATCATCATGGAATGGGATCCTGGGATTGATCGGGTTCCCATGGCATGGAGTGGGATCCTGGGATTCAGAATTGGGGGATGTGGGATTAATCATTGTGGGGTGGGATCCTGGGATTCAGAGGGGGATTCCAGGATTCAGAATCGTGGGATCTGGGGATTCAGAGGGGGATCCTGGGATTCAGAACTGTGGGATCCCGGGATTCAGAGGGGGATCCTGGGATTCAGAGTGAGATTCTGGGATTCAGAATCGTGGGATCCTGGGATTCAGAGTGAGATTCCAGGATTCAGAATTGTGGGATCTGGGGATTCAGAGGGGGATCCCAGAATTCATCATCGTGCTCTGGGATTCTGGGATTCCCATGATTCCCGTGATTCCCATGATTCCCATGATTCCCGGGATTCCCGTGATTCCCATGGCACGCAGCAGGAATCCCAGCACTGCTCCCTTCCCCACGGCACGCGCAAGCGCAAACCCCACTCCGGAATTCCCGAAATTTTTTTTTTCCCCCCCAACTCCAGATTATCCCAATTTTTCCCCTTTGGGAGAACCCATCCCGTTCACCCATCCCTTAGGAGCTTCCTCAAAATCCAGCCGGGATTTTGGGACGGGGGGGAAAATTTTGGGATTGCTTAAAAAAAAACCAAAAAAACCCCAAAAAACCCCCAAAAAAACCCCAAAAAAACCCCCCAAAAAACCCCAAAAAACCCCAATCTCCAGCCCCTCAAAACACCACGGGATCCCCAAAAAAAAACCCCAAAAAAAATTGTGGGATTCCCGGTGGGAATTTTTGGATTCCCGGGAGTTCCGGCCGGGCCCTGATGCCGGTGCGTGGCCGCCGCAGCCGCCGTGTGCGTGTGGGAGATCCCAGCCCGGAATTCCTGAACTTTTTTCTTGTTCCCCCCCAACTCCAGATTATCCCAATTTTTCCCCTTTGGGAGGAACCCATCCCTTAGGTGGGAAGGGTTTCCGTTCGCCCATCCCTTAGGAGCTTCCTCAAAATCCAGCCGGGATTTTGGGGCTGGGGGGAAAATTTAGGGATTGCTTAAAAAAAAAACCAAACCAAAAAAAACCCCAAAAAACCCCCAAAAAACCCAAAAAAAACCCCAAAAAAACCCAAAAAAACCCCCCAAAAAAACCCCCAAAAAACCCCAAAAAAACCCCAAAAAACCAATCTCCAGCCCCTCAAAACACCACTGGATCCCCCCCAAAAAAACCCCAAAAAAATTTGTCGGATTCCCGGTGGGAATTTTTGGATTCCCGGGAGTTCCGGCCGGGCCCTGATGCCGGTGCGTGGCAGATCCCAGTGCCGGTGTGGGAGATCCCAGCCCGGAATTCCTGAACTTTTTTTTTGTTCCCCCCCAAATCCAGATTATCCCAGTTTTTCCCCTTTGGGAGAACCCATCCCGTTCGCCCATCCCTTAGGAGCTTCCTCAAAATCCAGCCGGGATTTTGGGACGGGGAAATTTTGGGATTGCTTAAAAAAAAACCAAAAAAACCCCCCAAAAAAACCCCAAAAAAACCCCCAAAAAACCCCAAAACCCCCAATCTCCAGCCCCTCAAAACACCACCGGATCCCCCCCCAAAAAAAAAACCCAAAAAAATTCTCGGATTCCCAGTGGGAATTTTTGGATTCCCGGGAGTTCCGGCCGGGCCCTGATGCCGGTGCGTGGCTGCAGCCGCCGTGTGCGTGTGGGAGATCCCAGCCCGGAATTCCTGAACTTTTTTATTGTTCCCTCCCCAGCTCCAGATTATCCCAATTTTTCCCCTTTGGGAGAACCCATCCCGTTCGCCCATCCCTTAGGAGCTTCCTCAAAATCCAGCCGGGATTTTGGGGCGGGGGGGAAAATTTTGGGATTGCTTAAAAAAAACCACAAAAAAACCCCAAAAACAAACAAAAAAAAGCCCCCCCAAAAAAACCCCCAAAAAAACCCCAAAAAACCCAAAAAACCCAAAAACCCCAAAAAACCCAAAAAACCAATCTCCAGCCCCTCAAAACACCACGGGATCCCCAAAAAAAAAACCCAAAAAAATTGTGGGATTCCCGGTGGGAATTGTCAGATTCCTGGTGGGAATTGTCAGATTCCCGGGGGGAATTTTTGGATTCCCGGGGGGAATTTTTGGGTTCCCGGGGGGAATTTTTGGGTTCCCGGGGGAAACTGTCGGATTCCCAGGTGGAACTGTTGGATTCCTGGGGGGAACTGTTGGATTCCCGGGGGGAATTTTTGGATTCCCGGGGGGAACTTTTGGATTCCCGGGTGGAATTGTGGATTCCTGGGGCAATTGTCAGATTCCCGGTGGGGATTTTTGGACTCCCGGGGGGAATTTTTGGGTTCCCGGGGGGAATTTTTGGATTCCCAGGGGGAACTGTCGGATTCCCGGGGGGAATTTTTGGATTCTGGGGTGGAATTTTTGGATTCCCGGGTGGAATTGTCGGGTTCCCGGGGTGAATTGTCGGATTCCCGGGTGGAATTTTTGGGTTCCCGGGGGGAACTGTCGGATTCCCGGGTGGAATTGTCGGATTCCTGGGGCAATTGTTGGAATCCCGGGGTGAATTTTTGGATTCCCAGGGGGAACTGTCGGATTCTCGGGGGGAATTTTTGGATTCCCGGGTGGAACTGTCGGATTCCCGGGGGGAATTTTTGGGTTCCCGGGGTGAATTTTTGGATTCCTGGGGTGAATTTTTGGATTCCCAGTGGGGAACTGTCGGATTCCCAGGGGGAATTGTCAGATTCCCGGGTGGAATTTTCGGGTTCCCGGGGGGGATTGTCGGATTCCTGGGGGAACTGTCAGATTCCCGGGGTGAATTGTCAGATTCCTGGTGGGAATTGTCAGATTCCTGGGGCAATTGTCGGATTCCCGGGGTGAATTTTTGGATTCCCGGGTGGAATTTTCGGATTCCCGGGTGGAACTGTCGGATTCCCGGGTGGAATTTTCGGGTTCCCGGGGGGAATTTTTGGATTCCGGGGTGGAATTTTTGGATTCTGGGGTGGAATTTTCGGATTCCCGGGTGGAACTGTCGGGTTCCCAGGTGGAATTTTCAGGTTCCCGGGGTGGAATTTTTGGATTCCGGGGTGGAATTTTTGGGTTCCCTGGGGGAATTGCCGGATTCCTGGGGGAACTGGCGGATTCCCAGGGGGAATTTTTGGATTTCCGGGGTGAATTTTTGGATTCCCGGGTGGAATTGTCAGATTCCGGGATGGAATTTTTGGATTCCCAGGGTGAATTTTTGGATTCTGGGGTGGAATTTTTGGATTCTGGGGTGGAATTTTTGGATTCCCGGGTGGAACTGTCGGGTTCCCGGGTGGAATTTTTGGATTCCCGGGGTGGAATTTTTGGATTCCCGGGGTGGAATTTTTGGATTCCCGGGGGAACTGTCCGATTCTCGGGGTGAATTGTTGGATTCCCGGGGGGAATTTTTGTGTTCCCGCAGCCGTGTGCGTGTGGGAGATGCTGAGCTTCGGGAAGCAGCCGTTCTTCTGGCTGGAGAACAAGGACGTGATCGGGGTCCTGGAGAGGGGCGACCGCCTGCCCAAGCCCGACCTGTGCCCGCCCGTGCTCTACACGCTGATGGCGCGGTGCTGGGACTACGACCCCGGAGAGAGGCCCAGGTTCCAGGAGCTCGTCTGCAGCCTCAGGTGCGGGATCCACGGGAAAGGGTGGGAATGATGAGGGGGGAAAGCTGGGAAAAAATTCGGATCGAGAGATTTTATGGGAAAGTTTGGGTTCGGAGCCTTTCCTGGGAATCAAAGCACTCCAATTCCAAAGGGAATTCTGGAGGATCCATGGAGGGATGGATTGGTGGGAATGTGGGGGAAAAATCTGGGAAAAAGTTGGGATCGGGAGATTTTATGGGAAAGTTTGGGTTCGGAGCCTTTCCTGGGAATCAAAGCACTCCAACTCCAAAGGGAATTCTGGAGGATCCATGGAAGGATGGAGGGGTTGGGAATCAGGAGGAAAAATCTGGGAAAAGTCTGGGATTGGGAATTTTTAATGAAAAGTTTGGGTTCAGAGCCTTTCCTGGGAATGGAAATGCTCCAAAGGGTCTCCAAGGCCGGGAGAATTCTGGGGTGGGATGGAGAGGTGGGAACAAGGTGGAAAAATCCAGGAAAATTCTGGGATTGGGAGATTTTTATATGGAAAAGTTTGGGTTCAGAGCCTTTCCTGGGAATCGAAGCACTCCAACTCCAAAGGGAATTCTGGAGGATCCATGGAGGAATGGAGGGGTTGGGAATCAGGAGGAAAAATCTGTGAAAACCTTGGGATTGGGAGATTTTATGGAAAAAGTTTGGGATCAGAGCCTTTCCCGGGAATCGAAACGCTCCAACTCCAAAGGGAATTCTGGAGGATCCATGGAGGAATGGATTGGTGGGAATGTGGAGGAAAAATCTGGGAAAAACTTGGGGTCAGGAGATTTTATGGAAAAGTTTGGGATCAGAGCCTTTCCTGGGAATCAAAGCACTCCAACCCTAAAGGGAATTCTGGAGGATCCATGGAGGGATGGAGGGGTTGGGAATGTGGAGGAAGAATCTGGGAAAACGGTGGGATTGGGAATTGTTATGGAAAAGTTTGGGTTCAGAGCCTTTCCTGGGAATCAAAACCCTCCAAAGGGTCTCCAAGGCTGGGGGAATTCTGGAGTGGGATGGAGAGGTTGGAATATTGAGGTGAAAAAGCTGGGAAAGGTCTGGGATTGGGAGATTTTATGGAAAAGTTTGGGATCAGAGCCTTTCCTGGGAATCAAAGCACTCCAATTCCTCAGGGAATTCTGGAGGATCCATGGAGGGATGGAGGGGTTGGGAATCAGGAGGAAAAATCTGGGAAAAGGGTCAGATTGGGAATTGCTATGGGAAAGTTTGGGTTCAGAGCCTTTCCCGGGAATCAAAGCATTCCAACTCCAAAGGGAATTCTGGAGGATCCATGGAGGAATGGAGGGGTTGGGAATATGGATGAAAAATCTGGGAAAAACTTGGGATTGGGAGATTTTGATGGAAAAGTTTGGGTTCAGAGCCTTTCCTGGGAATCCAAACCCTCCAAAGGGTCTCCAAGGCTGGGGGAATTCTGGGGTGGGATGGAGAGGTGGGAACGAGGTGGAAAAATCCGGGAAAAATCTGGGATCGGGAATTTTGATGGAAAAGTTTGGGTTCAGAGCCTTTCCCGGGAATCAAAACATTCCAATTCCAAAGGGAATTCTGGAGGATCCATGGAAGGATGGGGAGGTGTTAATCAGGAGGAAAAATCCGGGAAAATCTGGGATCTGGAATTTTTATGGAAAAGTTTGGGTTCAGAGCCTTTCCTGGGAAAATCCAAACCCTCCAAAGGGTCCCCAAGGCTGGGGGAATTCTGGGGTGGGACGGAGAGGTGGGAACGAGGTGGAAAAATCCGGGAAAATTCTGGGATCGGGAGATTTTTCTATGGAAGCGTTTGGGTTTTTCCTGGGCAATCCCAAGCGCTTCCAAAGGGTCTCCGGTGCCGGGAATTCCCTGGATCCTGACCCCGGCTGTCCCCGTGCCCTGTCCTGGCAGCGACATTTACCTGATGGAGAAGGAGCTGGCCCAGGAGCAGGAGCGGAGCAGCCGGCACCGCCCTCCCAAAATCCTGGAGCCGCCGGAATTCCAGGAGCCGCCGCCCAAGGTTGGGAACGGGGCCGAGAGCCCCCGGGGCGGGGACGGGAATTTGGGATTGCCCGGGATGATCCAGAGGAATTCCCGGGGTTTTTTTGGGTTTGGTTTTGGTGTTTTCCCCACAGCCCAGCCGGCCCGCGTACAAGCCGCCATCCCAGAATAACCTCCTGGCTCCCAGGCTGCAATTCCAGGTGAGGAATTCCCGGGATTTCGGGCGCCGGGATGGGGAAATCCCCGGGGTTGTGTCCGTCGGGGTCCATTCCCGAATTCCCAAATTCCGCCGGGGTCGGAATCCATCCAGGAATTCCGGGGATTGAATCCTGCGGCTGTCCCGGGTTAATGGATGGGTTTCCCTGGGCGGGAGTCGTTCCTGATATCCCAGAATATCCTGAAATATCCCGAAATATCCCGAAATATCCCAAAATATCCCAAAATATCCCAGAATATCCCAAAGTATCCCAAAATATCCCAGAACATCCCAAAATATCCCCAAAATATCCCAAAACATCCCGAAATATCCCAAAATATCCCGAAATATCCCGAAATATCCCAAAGTATCCCAAAATATCCCAAAATATTCCGAAATATCCCAAAATATCCCAAAATTTCCCGTAATTTCCCAAAATTTCCCGTAATTTCCCAAAATATCCTAAAATATCCCAAAATATCCCGAAATATCCCAAAATATCCCAAAATATCCCGAAATATCCCAGAATATCCCAAAATATCCCAAAATATCCCAAAGTATTCCCCCAAAATATCCGAAAATATCCCAAAAATATCCCAGAATATCCCGAAATATCCCAAAATATCCCAAAATATCCCGAAATATCCCGAAATATCCCAAAATATCCCAAAATATCCCGAAATATCCCAAAATATCCCGAAATATCCTGAAATATCTCGAAATTTCCCAAAATATCCCGAAATTTCCCAAAATATCCCAGAATATCCCAAAATATCCCGAAATATCCCAAAATATCCCAAAATATCCCAGAATATCCCAAAATATCCCAAAACATCCCAAAACATCCCAAAACATCCCAAAATATCCCGAAATATCCCGAAATATCCCAAAATATCCCAAAGTATCCCAAAATAACCCGAAATATCCCAAAATTTCCCAAAATATCCCAAAATATCCCGAAATATCCCGAAATATCTGGAAATATCCCAAAATATCCCGAAATATCCCAGAATATCCCAAAATATCCCAAAGTATCCCAAAGTATCCCAAAATATCCCGAAATATCCCAGAATATCCCAAAATATCCCAAAATATCCCAGAATATCCCAGAATATCCCAAAATATTCCAAAATATCCCAAAATAACCCAGAATATCCCAAAATATCCCGAAATATCCCGAAATACCCGAAATTTCCCAAAATATCCCGAAATATCCCGAAATTTCCCAAAATATCCCAAAATATCCCAAAATATCCCAAAATACCCGAAATTTCCCAAAATATCCCGAAATATCCCGAAATTTCCCAAAATATCCCAAAATATCCCAAAATATCCCAAAATACCCGAAATTTCCCAAAATATCCCGAAATATCCCGAAATATCCCGAAATTTCCCAAAATATCCCAAAATATCCCAAAATATCCCGAAATATCCCAAAATATCCTGAAATATCCCAAAATATCCCAAAATTTTCCCAAAATATCCCGAAATATCCCAGAATATCCCAAAATATCCCAAAATATCCCAAAATATCCCAAAATTTCCCAAAATATCCCAAAACATCCCAGAATATCCCAAAATATCCCGAAATATCCTGAAATATCCCAAAATATCCCGAAATATCCCGAAATATCCCGAAATATCCCAAAATATCCTGAAATATCCCAAAATATCCCAAAATATCCCAGAATATCCCAAAATATCCCAAAATATCCCAAAATATGCTGAAATATCCCAAAATATCCCGAAATATCCCAAAATATCCTAAAATATACCAAAATATCCCAAAGTATCCCAAAATATCCCAGAATATCCCCGAAATATCCCAAGGCCACTTTTAGGATGAGGCCAGTCCCGATCCGAGTGCAATTCCCGATATTCAGAGGCCAGAATGTCCCAAAACATCCCATAATTTCCCCAGAATTCCCAAAATATTCCAAAGTATCCCAAAAAATCCCTGAATATGTGAAAAAAATCCAAAAATATCCCAAAAATCCAGAAATTTCCCAAAAAATCCCATAATTTCCCCAAAATATCCCATAATTTCCCCAAAAATTCCCCAAATATTCCAAACTATCCCAAAAAATCCCTGAATATGTGAAAAAAATCCCAGAATTTCCCAAAATAGCCCGAAATTTCCCAAAATATCCCGTAATTCTCCCAAAATATTCCAAAGTATCCCAAAAAGTCCCTAAATATGTGAAAAAAATCCCAGAATATCCCAAAATAGCCCAAAATATCCTAAAATTTCCCAAAATATCCCAAAATTTCCCCAAAATTTTCCCAAAATATCCCAGAATTTCCCAAAAATTCCCCAAATATTCCAAAGTATCCCAAAAAATCCCTGAATATGTGAAAAAAAATCCCAGAATTTCCCAAAATATCCCAAAATTCCCCCAAAATTCCCAAAATATTCCTAAGTTTCAAAAAAAATCCCTGAATATGTGAAAAAAATCCTGGAATAACCCAAAATATCCCAAAATATCCCAAAATTTCTCCAAAATTGCCCAAATATTCCAAACTATCCCAAAAAATCCCGAAATATGTGAAAAAAATCCCAGAATTTCCCAAAATATCCCAAAATTCCCCAAAATTCCCAAAATATTCCAAACTATCCCAAAAAATCCCTGAATATGTGAAAAAAATCCCAGAATATCCCAAAATATCCCAAAATATCCCAAAATATCCCATAATTCCCCAAAATTCCCAAAATATTCAAAAGTATCCAAAAAAATCCCTGAATATGTGAAAAAAATTCCAGAATTTCCCAAAATATCCCGAAATTTCCCCAAAAATTCCCCAAATATTCCAAAGTATCCAAAAAAATCCCTAAATATGTGAAAAAAATCCCAGAATATCCCAAAATATCCCAAAATTTCCCAAAAATTCCCAAAATATTCCAAAGTATCCCAAAAAATCCCTGAATATGTGAAAAAATTCCCAGAAATTTCCCAAAATATTCCAAGATTTCCCGAAAGGTCCCATAATTCCCCCAAAATTCCCCAAATATTCCAAAGTATCCCAAAAAAATCCCTGAATATGTGAAAAAAATCCCAGAATTTCCCAAAAAATCCCAAAATTTCCCAAAATATCCCGTAATTTCCCAAAAATTCCCAAAATATTCCCAAAATTTCCCAAAATATTCCGTAATTCCCCCAAAATTCCCAAAATATTCCAAACTATCCCAAAAAACCCCTAAATATCTGAAAAAATCCCAAAATAGCCCAAAATTTCCCCAAAATTCCCAAAATATTCCAAAGTATCCCAAAAAAATCCCTAAATATGTGAAAAAAATCCCAGAATTGCCCAAAATGTCCCGAAATTTCCCCAAAATATCCCATAATTCCCCAAAAATTCCCAAAATATTCCAAAGTTTCAAAAAAAATCCCTGAATATGTAAAAAAAATCCCAGAATATCCCAAAATTCCCCCAAAATTCCCCAAATATTCCAAACTATCCCAAAAAATCCCTGAATATGTGAAAAAATCCCAGAATTTCCCAAAATATCCCAAAATTTCCCAAAATTTCCAAAAAAATCCCAAAATATTCCAAAGTATCCCAAAAAATCCCTGAATATGTGAAAAAAATCCCAGAATTTCCCAAAATATCCTGAAGTATCCCAAAATATCCCAAAATTCCCCCAAATATTCCAAAATAGCCCAAAAAAATCCCAAAATATTTCAGAATATCCTAAAATACCCCAGAATATCCCAAAATCCAAAAATATCCTAAAATAGCCCAGAATATCCCAAAATATTCTCGAATATCCCAAAATATCCCCAAAATATCCCAGAATATCCCAAACTATCCCAAAATTCCCCCCAATGTTCCAAAATATCCCCAAAAAAATCCCAAAAATATTTTTGAAATATCCTAAAATACTCCAGAATATCCCAAAATCCAAAAATATCCTAAAATAGCCCAGAATATCCCAAAATATTCCACAATATCCAAAAAATCCCAGAATATCCCAAAGTATCCCCAAAATATCCTGAAGTATCCCAAAATATCCCCAAATTCCCCAAAATGTTCCAAAATAGCCCCAAAAAATCCGAAAATATTTCAAAATATCCTAAAATAGCCCAGATTATCCCAAAATCCAAAAATGTCCTAAAATAGCCCAGAATATCCCAAAATATTCCACAAGATCCCAAAATATCTGGAAAATCCCAGAATATCCCAAAGTATCCCCAAAATATCTCAGAATATCCCAAACTATCCCAAAATTCCCCCCAATATTCCAAAATAGCCCCAAAAAAATCCCAAAAATATTTTTGAAATATCCTAAAATACTCCAGAATATCCCAAAATCCAAAAATATCCTAAAATAGCCCAAAATATCCCAAAATATTCCACAAGATCCCAAAAAATCCCAGAATATCCCAAACGATCCCAAAATTCCCCAAAATATTCCAAAATAGCCCCAAAAATCCAAAAAAAATTCAAAATATCCTAAAATACCCCAGAATATCCCAGAATATCCCAAAATCCAAAAATGTCCTAAAATACCCCAGAATATCCCAAAATATTCCACAAGATCCCAAAATATCCCAGAATATCCCAAAGTATTCCCAAAATATCTCAGAATATCCCAAAATATCCCAAAATTCCCCAAAATATTCCAAAATAGCCCCCAAAAAATCCAAAATATTTCAAAATATCCTAAAATACCCCAGAATATCCCAAAATCCAAAAATGTTCTAAAATAGCTCAGAATATCCCAAAATATTCCACAATATCCTAAAATATCTGGAAAATCCCAGAATATCCCAAACTATCCCAAAATTCCCCAAAATATTCCAAAACAGCCCCAAAAAATTCCAAAAATATTTTTGAAATATCCTAAAATAGCCCAGAATATCCCAAAATCCAAAAATGTCCTAAAATAGCCCCAGAATACCCCAAAATATTCCACAAGATCCCAAAAAATACCAGAATATCCCAAAGTATCCCCAAAATATCTCAGAACATCCCAAACTATCCCAAAATTCCCCCAAATATTCCAAAATATCCCCAAAAAAATCCAAAAATATTTCAAAATATCCTAAACCACCCCAGAATATCCCAAAATATTTCACAAGATCCCAAAATATCAAAAAATATAAAAAAAAAACCCCCCAAAATATCCTGAAGTATCCCAGAATATCCCAAAATATCCCAAAATATCCCAAAATATCCCAAAATATCAAAAAATATCCCAAAGTATCCCAAAATATCCCAAAACATCCCAAAATACCCGAAAAAAAAAATCCCAAAAAATTCCCAAAATATCCCCAGGAAACCCCAAACCCAATCCAGGCCCGTCCCCATCCCCATCCCGGCGCCGTCCGTGTGTCCGTCCACGCGTGTCCGTGTCCGTGTGTCCATCCCCGTGTCCATCCCTGTGTCCGTGTGTCCATCCCCGTGTCCATCCCTGTGTCCATCCCTGTGTCCGTGTGTCCATCCCTGTGTCCATCCCCGTGTCCGTGTGTCCATCCCTGTGTCCATCCCCGTGTCCGTGTGTCCATCCCTGTGTCCATCCCTGTGTCCATCCCTGTGTCCATCCCTGTGTCCGTGTGTCCATCCCTGTGTCCATCCCCGTGTCCATCCCCGTGTCCATCCCTGTGTCCATCCCTGTGTCCATCCCCGTGTCCATCCCTGTGTGTCCATCCCTGTGTCCATCCCTGTGTCCATCCCTGTGTGTCCATCCCTGTGTCCATCCCTGTGTCCGTGTGTCCATCCCTGTGTCCGTGTGTCCCATCCCCGTGTCCATCCCTGTGTGTCCATCCCTGTGTCCGTGTGTCCATCCCCGTGTCCATCCCTGTGTCCATCCCTGTGTCCGTGTGTCGATCCCTGTGTCCATCCCTGTGTCCCATCCCTGTGTCCATCCCCGTGTCCATCCCTGTGTCCATCCCTGTGTCCGTCCCTGTGTCCGTGTGTCCATCCCCGTGTCCGTCCCCGTGTCCATCCCTGTGTCCATGTTGTCCATCCCTGTGTCCATCCCTGTGTCCATCCCCGTGTCCATCCCTGTGTCCGTGTGTCCATCCCCGTGTCCATGTGTCCATCCCGTGTCCATCCCTGTGTCCGTGTGTCCATCCCCGTGTCCATCCCAGTGTCCATCCCTGTGTCCGTGTGTCCATCCCTGTGTCCATCCCCGTTTCCATCCCTGTGTCCATCCCTGTGTCCATCCCTGTGTCCACCCCTGTGTCCGTGTGTCCATCCCTGTGTCCGTGTGTCCATCCCTGTGTCCATCCCTGTGTCCATCCCTGTGTCCATCCCTGTGTCCATCCCCGTGTCCATCCCTGTGTCCATCCCCGTGTCCATCCCTGTGTCTGTGTGTCCATCCCTGTGTCCATCCCTGTGTCCGTGTGTCCATCCCTGTGTCCGTGTGTCCATCCCTGTGTCCGTCCCCGTGTCCGTGTGTCCATCCCCGTGTCCGTCCGTGTGTCCATCCCAGTGTCCATCCCTGTGTCCATCCCTGTGTCCATCCCTGTGTCCGTGTGTCCATCCCTGTGTCCATCCCTGTGTCCGTCTGTCCATCCCTGTGTCCATCCCCGTTTCCCATCCCTGTGTCCATCCCTGTGTCCATCCCCGTTTCCATCCCTGTGTCCATCCCTGTGTCCATCCCTGTGTCCGTGTGTCCATCCCTGTGTCCATCCCTGTGTCCATCCCTGTGTCCATCCCTGTGTCCGTGTGTCCATCCCTGTGTCCATCCCTGTGTCCATCCCCGTGTCCGTCCCTGTGTCCATCCCTGTGTCCCGTGTGTCCATCCCCGTGTCCATCCCTGTGTCCATCCCTGTGTCCATCCCTGTGTCCATCCCTGTGTCCCGTCCGTGTGTCCATCCCTGTGTCCATCCCTGTGTCCGTGTGTCCATCCCAGTGTCCATCCCTGTGTCCATCCCTGTGTCCGTGTGTCCATCCCTGTGTCTGTGTGTCCATCCCTGTGTCCATCCCTGTGTCCATCCCCGTGTCCGTCCCTGTGTCCATCCCTGTGTCCATCCCTGTGTCCATCCCCGTGTCTGTGTGTCCATCCCTGTGTCCATCCCCGTGTCCATCCCTGTGTCCATCCCTGTGTCCATCCCTGTGTCCATCCCTGTGTCCGTGTGTCCATCCCTGTGTCCATGTGTCCATCCCCATGTCCATCCCTGTGTCCATCCCTGTGTCCGTGTGTCCATCCCTGTGTCCATCCCTGTGTCCATCCCTGTATCCATCCCTGTGTCCATCCCTGTGTCCATCCCTGTGTCCATCCCCGTGTCCATCCCTGTGTCCATCCCTGTGTCCATCCCCGTGTCCATCCCTGTGTCCATCCCTGTGTCCATCCCTGTGTCCGTGTGTCCATCCCCGTGTCCATCCCCATGTCCATCCCAGTGTCCATCCCTGTGTCCATCCCTGTGTCCGTGTGTCCATCCCTGTGTCCGTGTGTCCATCCCTGTGTCCATCCCCGTGTCCATCCCCGTGTCCGTGTGTCCATCCCCGTGTCCATCCCCGTGTCCATCCCCGTGTCCATCCCTGTGTCCGTGTGTCCATCCCCGTGTCCATCCCCCGTGTCCGTGTGTCCATCCCCGTGTCCATCCCTGTGTCCATCCCTGTGTCCATCCCCGTATCTGTCCCCGTGTCCATCCCTGTGTGTCCATCCCTGTGTCCATCCCCATGTCCGTGTGTCCATCCCTATGTCCGTGTGTCCATCCCCATGTCCGTGTGTCCATCCCTGTGTCCATCCCTGTGTCCATCCCCGTGTCCATCCCTGTGTCCATCCCTGTGTCCGTGTGTCCATCCCTGTGTCCATCCCTGTGTCCATCCCTGTGTCCGTGTGTCCATCCCTGTGTCCATCCCTGTGTCCATCCCCGTGTCCATCCCCGTGTGTCCGTCCCCTGTGTCCATCCCCGTGTGTCCGTCCGTGTCCATCCCTGTGTCCATCCTTGTGTCCATCCCTGTGTCCATCCTTGTGTCCATCCCCGTGTCCGTGTGTCCATCCCCGTGTCCGTCCCTGTGTCCGTCCCCGTGTCCATCCCTGTGTCCATCCCTGTGTCCCATCCCTGTGTCCATCCCCGTGTCCATCCCCATGTCCGTGTGTCCATCCCTGTGTCCATCCCCGTGTGTCCGTCGTGTGTCCGTCCGCGCTAACCCCGCTCTTGCTGCCTCCGCTGCCGCCTCTGCCGTGTTCCCGTTGCCGTTCCCGGATTCCCAGCTTCCGGAGGGGCTCTGTGCCAGCTCTCCCACCCTCGCCAGCCCTGCCGAGGTCCCGAGCCCGGCGCTGTCGCGGCGCACGCCGCCCCCGGCGCGGCACGGCGGCTTCAAGAGGCACAGCATGAGGGTAAGCGCCCGCGGGCCGCCGCCTGAACCAACAACAACACCAACAGCAGCACCAGGCCCAGGCCTTCCCGGCGCTCCAAAAACCACTCGGGGACTGGCCCGGGGGGATTCCGGGGAATTCCCAATCCTCCAAAAATCCCTCAGAGATCGGCCCGAGGGGATTCGGGAGCCGGAGGAATTCCCGGTGCTCAAAAATTGTCCTCAAAGATTGTCCCAAGGGGATTCGGGGGAATTCCCAATCCTCAAAAAATCGTCCCATTTTTGGGATCTGCTTCCCCTTGGGATTTGGGATCCAGAGGGATTCCCAATCCTCAAAATCCATCCTGTTTTTGGGATTGATTTCCCGTTGGGATTTGGCATCTGGAGGAATTCCCAATCCTCAAAAATTGTCCCCATTGTTGGGATCTGCTTCCTGTTGGGATTTGGCATCCAGAGGAATTCCCAATCCTCAAAAAAATCCCTCAGAGATCGGCCCAAGGGGATTCAGGGAAATTCCCAATCCTCAAAAATCCCTCAAAGATTGTTTTGGTTGGATTCGGGAGCTGGAGACCTTCCCAGTCCTTGAAAATTGTCCCATTTTTGGGATCCATTTCCTGTTGGGATTTGGGATCTGGAGGAATTCCCAATCCTTAAAAATCCATCCCAATTTTGGGATCTGCTTCCCCTTGGGATTTGGCATCCTGAGGAATTCCCAATCCTCCAAAATATCCCTCAAAAGTTAGTCCCAGTGGGATTTGGGAGCTGGGGGAATTCCCGATCCTCAAAAATCCTCCTGTTTTTGGGATCCATTGGAATCCACTTCCCGTCGGGATTTGGCATCCGGAGGAATTCCCGATCCTCAAAATCCATCCCGTTTTTGGGATTGATCTCCCATTGGAATTTGGGATCTGGAGGAATTCCCGATCCTCAAAAATTGTCCTCAGAGATTGTTTTGGTTGGATTTGGCATCTTGAGGAATTCCCAATCCTCCAAAAAATCCCTCAGAGATCGTCCCAGTGGGATTTGGCATCTGGAGAAATTCCCAATCCTCAAAAATCCTCCCATTTTTGGGATCTGCTTCCCCTTGGGATTTGGCATCTGGAGGAATTCCCAATCCTCCAAAAAATCCCTCAGAGATCGGCCCAAGGGGATTCAGGGAAATTCCCAATCCTCAAAAATCCCTCAAAGATTGTTTTGGTTGGATTTGGGAGCTGGAGACCTTCCCAATCCTCAAAAATCCATCCCATTTTTGGGATCTGCTTCCCCTTGGGATTTGGCATCCTGAGGAATTCCCAATCATCCAAAAAATCCCTCAAAGATTGTCCCGAGGGGATTTGGCAGCCGGAGGAATTCCCAATCCTTAAAAATTGTCCTGTTCGGATTCAGCATCTGGAGACCTTCCCAATCCTCAAAAATCTTCCCGTTGCTGGAATCCATTGGGATCCACTTCCCGTTGGGATTTGGGATCCAGAGGAATTCCCGGTCCTCAAAATCCTCAGAGATCGTCCCAGTGGGATTCGGCATCTGGAGACCTTACCAATCCTCAAAAATGCTCCCATTTTTGGGATCCATTTCCCACTGGGATTTGGGAGCCAGAGGAATTCCCAATCCTCAAAAATTGTCCCAATTTTGGGATCTGCTTCCTGTTGGGATTTGGCATCCTGAGGAATTCCCAATCCTCAAAAATCCATCCCATTTTTGGGATCCATGGGGATTCTGCTTCCCCTTGGGATTTGGCATCCTGAGGAATTCCCAGTCCTTAAAAAATGCCCCCATTGTTGGGATCCATTTCCCGTTGGGATCTGGGATCTGGAGGAATTCCCAATCCTCCAAAATCCCTCCCATTTTTGGGATTGATTTCCCAGTGGGATTTGGCATCCTGAGGAATTCCCAATCCTCAAAATCCATCCCGTTTTTGGGATCTCGATGCCTTCCCAGTCCTCAAAATCTGTTCCATTTTTTGGGATCCCTTGGGATTTGCTTCCTGTTGGGATTTGGGGTCTGGATGCCTTCCCGACCCTCAAACTCCCTCCCAGTTTTTGGGATCTGCTTCCCATTGGGATTTGGGATCTGGAGCCTTCCCAATCCTCAAAATCCCTCCCCATTTTTGGGATCTGCTTCCCACTGGGATTTGGGATCCGGAGGAATTCCCAATCCTAAAAATCCCTCCCATTTTTGGGATCGGCTTCCCGTTGGGATTTGGGATCTCGATTCCTTCCCAGTCCTCAAAATCCGTTCCAATTTTGGGATCCTTGGGATTTGCTTCCCATTGGGATTTGGGATCTGGAGGAATTCCCAATCCTCAAAAATCTTCTCGTTGGAACCCATCGGATCCACTTCCCACTGGGGACCCTAAAAATCCCTCCCATTTTTAGGATTTGGGATCTGGATGCCTTCCCAATCCTAAAAATCCATCCCATTTTTGGGATCTGCTTCCCATTGAGATTTGGGGTCTCGATGCCTTCCCAATCCTCCAAAATCCCTCCCATTTTTGGGATCTGCTTCCCATTGAGATTTGGGATCCGGAGGAATTCCCAACCCTAAAAATCCCTCCCATTTTTGGGATCTTGATTCCTTCCCAATCCTAAAAATCTGTTCCATTTTTGGGATCCCTTGGGATTTGCTTCCCACTGGGATTTGGGATCTGGATGCCTTCCCGACCCTAAAACTCCCTCCCATTTTTGGGATCTGCTTCCCGTTGGAATTTGAGATCTGGAGGAATTCCCAATCCTCCAAAATCCATCCCATTTTTAGGATTTGGGATCTGGAGACCTTCCAAATCCTCAGAATCCCTCCCAGTTTTGGGTTCCGCTTCCCATTGAGATTTGGGGTCTCGATGCCTTCCCAATCCTAAAAATCCCTCCCATTTTTGGGATCTGGAGCCTTCCCAACCCTAAAAATCCCTCCCATTTTTGGGATCAATTTCCCACTGGGATTTGGGATCCAGAGGAATTCCCGACCCTCAAACTCCCTCCCAGTTTTTGGGATCCGCTTCCCATTGGGATTTGAGATCTCGATGCCTTCCCAACCCTAAAAATCCATCCCATTTTTGGGATCTGCTTCCCGTTGGAATTTGAGATCTGGAGGAATTCCCAATCCTCAAAATCCATCCCATTTTTAGGATTTGGGATCTGGATGCCTTTCCAATCCTAAAAATCCCTCCCATTTTTGGGATTGGTTTCCCACTGGGATTTGGGATCCGGAGGAATTCCCAACCCTAAAAATCCCTCCCATTTTTGGGATCTTGATGCCTTCCCAATCCTAAAAATCCGTTCCATTTTCGGGATCCCTTGGGATCTGCTTCCCATTGGGATTTGGGATCCGAGGAATTCCCAATCCTCAAAATCCATCCCATTTTTAGGATTCGGGATCTGGAGACCTTCCCAATCCTAAAAATCCCTCCCATTTTGGGATTGGCTTCCCATTGGGATTTGGGATCTCGATTCCTTCCCAGTCCTCAAAATCCGTTGCATTTTCGGGATCCCTTGGGATCTGCTTCCCCGTTGGGATTTGGGATCCGGAGAAATTCCCAATCCTCAAACTCCCTCCCATTTTTGGGATTGATTTCCCACTGGGATTTGGGATCCGGAGGAATTCCCAATCCTCAAAATCCATCCCATTTTTAGGATTTGGGATCTGGATGCCTTCCCAATCCTAAAAATCCATCCCATTTTTGGGATCGATTTCCCATTAGGATTTGAGATCCAGAGGAATTCCCAATCCTCAAAATCCCTCCCATTTTTGGGATCGATTTCCTGTTGGGATTTGAGATCTGGATGCCTTCCAATCCTCAAAATCCATCCCATTTTTGGGATCTGCTTCCCATTGGGATTTGGGATCTGGAGCCTTCCCAACCCTAAAAATCCTCCCGTTTTTGGGATTGGTTTCCCACTGGGATTTGGGATCCGGAGGAATTCCCAACCCCCAGATTTCCCTCCCGGTTTTTTGGGTTCCGCTTTCCCCCGCCCCCGCCGCCGCCGCTTTCCCCCATTTTACTTTTTTCCCCTTTTTTCCCCTTTTCTGTTTTTGTCACTACTCCCCCTTTTCCTTTTCCCCCCTCCTTTCCCCCCATTTTCCCCCTTTTTTTCCCTCTTTTTCCCACTTTTCCCCATTTTCCCCTTTTCTCCCCTTTTCCCCCCTCCATTTTTTCCCCTCTTTTCCCCAAATTTTCTCCCCTTTTTTCTCCTCTATCCCCATTTTTCCCCTTTTCCCCTTTTTCCCCCTTTATCCTGATTTTCCCCTTTTATCCCCCTTTTCCCCCATTTTACTTTTTTCCCCTTTTTTCCCCTTTTCCTGTTTTTGTCACTACTCCCCCTTTTCCTTTTCCTTTTTCCCCTTCCCCCCAATTTTCCCCTTTTTTCTCATTCTTTCTCCTTTTCCCCTTTTCCCCCCTTTTCCCCTTTTCCCCATTTTTCTCCTTTTTTCTCTTTTCCCCTTTTCTTCCCTTTATCCCCTTTTTCCCCATTTTTCTCCTTTTCCCCCTTTCCCCCCTTTATCCCATTTTCCCCCCTTTTTTCTCCTTTTCCCCTTTTCCCAGTTTCTCCCTTTCCCCCATTTTTCCTCCTCTTTTCCCATTTTTCCCATTTTTCCCCATTTCCCATTTTTCTCCTTTTTCCCTTCCCCCTTTATCCCCCTTTTTCTCATTTCCCTCCTTTTTCACCTTTCCCCTTTTCCCCCTTTTTCCCCTTTTCCCCTTCCCACTTTTCCCCTTTTCCCCCTTTCCCCCTTTTCCCCATTTTTTATCCTTTATTCCCCTTTTCCCCTGATTTTCCCCCTTTCCCCCTTTTCCCTTTTTTCCCTTCCCCTCTTTCCGATTTTCC